TAGGGGTTGCGTTTTCCACCCCTTACAACCATGGGGTAAACCAAATAAATATCTGGCTAAGTGTCTTTTTGGTGGTACAAAACGTCAGGTTAATTTCAATATTGTAACTTTTTTAGTGCTTGTGAAAAAAATTGTTATACAAATTTTATGTACCCTCTTTAAGGGGCTGTAACTTAACAAGATATGCTCCAATCAAATTTCTTTATATGAAAAATACTACCTTTTTTCGATGAGGAATCACCTCCTTAAATGTTTAACATTTATTTTGTTACACCCTGTATAAATATAATTATGAATTATACATTTATAAAATATAAAATAATGATTTCGTTGACTTAGTATGATTGTATTTTGGTAAGTGAAGTTGTTGTCCTGTATTTCCTCTTGTTTAATATTATGGATTAGAGAACTAAATATTCTGGCATCAACTTATTCAAGACTTTAAAAATGAAAATCTTAGATGTCAAATATAATCTCTGTGATACTGATAACTATTTTAATGAGTCCAACATGAAAATAGTATTTGTATATCGGTTACACCTCAAGTTTATATGCATTCCTCGATTCTGCAATTTCTGTAGACTTGAAATTTTGTTAGCATCAAAGGAATATAATATACTTCCACAGAAATCAGGTGAGGTTGAATAATTGTATTATAAAACGTTAACCTAGAATATAAAGATAGCTCAGATAAGACTCTAGTAAAGAAATATATCTTTTTCGAAATACAATTAAAATGGACGCTGAAAGAAAGAGTGTTATCTAGCATGAAACCCAAATACTCAATCTCGTTTACGAACGTGATTTTTCCACCATTTATTGAAAGTATAAGAAATGGTTTTGCGTGGTTTAATAATTGGAGCTGTTTCTAAGAAAAAGATTTTGCTGATTCGATTATTAGTCAAGTTCTTAAGAAATTATAGGGAGCATAAAAAGTAATGGACCCGTCACCAAATTTTCTTAGTATAATAGTATTAAAGAGATATTCTCTTCAATTGTACTGCCGGCACTGAAAGCCTATGGCTTTATATGTAAATAGTAATTTCTGTATTTATGTGTGGATACTTCACCTTTTTTATTTGTACATTCAACATAATTTTCACAATTCTAAGATCTCATAGAAGTTGTTTCGAAAGTACTCTTTTTTTCGTGTTATTCGATGTTTATATGAAAGTAGTTGTTTTAGCAGAGCTTTTTCTTCCAGTTTGTGTCTGAAAGTTAGTTCTTTGCACATTTACACATTTTTGTAGAGTTCAAAATGAAAATGATTGCTTTCTTCCTTTCTTTGGAAGATTCCCAAACTTTTTTGCATAAAGATGGGGAAGTAGAAAGCCAGAAACTTTTTTTCCAAAAAAATAATCACTTTCTTATTAGTCAGTGGGCTATGCTTGAAGACTGGCAAACCTACTGTGTAGGTATATAGAGACTGGCTTGAACGTTTGAAGTTCCATTTACTTTAGATTTAAAAATAATCACTCCTAAACATATCCCCCTTTCAATTTTAATGAAACACTTTGATTAAATTGTACTGTCATGATTACTATAAAAAGCACATAAAAAAATTTACACAGTTGCTACAACGGCGGAGAATAGTTTTTGTATCCTAAAGAAAAATAGTGGCTAGGTCCATTACTGAAAATTCATTGGCTTTAATAAAATCAAAAAGTTAAATGAATCCCTCTAAGAATTATGGTAAATAGAAAATAAAAGAGCAATTTGTGACCAGAAAAAGGAACAATAATGATTAAAAAGAGTCATTTCTAATCAATGGTGAAGAGTATAAGATTCAAATGAAACATCATGATAGTAGAACAGAATATAAAGAAGTTATGGAGCCATCGTTCTCCATTTTATTAAAAAGTTTGAAATCTGCCTGGTAATTCCAATAGAACAAAAGCCCTTTGTTATCTTTTAAAAGCTGAAAGTTCATCAGCCCATGGTCCCAATATATGTGAAAAACGATGAGCTACTATCAAGTTTTATCATAATTTAGCAGGTAACAGGTAGCAAAGGTGCATCATCCAACATAGACAGGGAATGATTGGCTACTGTGAGGTTTGCATCATCATGGCTTTGGCAATGAACAGGTAGCAAAAGTGTCAAAAATCCTTCGCCAGATACAATAAAACTTTTCATTATTATATGTTATTTGGGTAACTCCAAGAAAATATTTCCCCAGTAGCCGGACAGTTTAACAGTTCTAACACCTGGCCCGATAAATTTAAAAGTTAATGTAGTTGCGTGCATCATGCAACATACATCTAAATAGATTTATTTAACACGTACTCCCAATTATAATTGAAAAATACAAAGTTCAAAAAACAATAATTAGAAAACTAATACATACAAAATGAATACAAAACAAATATATAGTGTCACTATAAACATATACAAATACAAACTCAATAGCAGTGCAAACAACTCCTTTTGGTCCTAATAGCAATTGGCAAACTGCTGAAAATAAGTACACATTAAAGCACATTTCAATTTCTTAATGATGTTGCTATTAAGTTTGTCTGGCCTGGTGTTAGTTTTGTCGAAACTATGTAGCTACTCTTTTGGTTAGTTTCCGGGTTTCGCTGTAGTCTTCTTTGGATACAATCTCCAAACGTTTCAACTGCAACTGCGGCAGTCATCTTCAGTAGCGCGGTCGAAGTACTCTTCTTGACGTTTCAACTGAACTGTAGCTACTACACACTATTGCTACCTGTTACCTGCCAAAACCATGACGATGATTCAAACTTCACAGTAGCCAATGGTTCGTTCCTTACCTATGTGAGAAACTTCCAGCTTTTATAAAATAACGAAGGTCTGGCATTTACAGTCTCTTAGACTTCTAACAAAATCATTAGAAATGCTCAAATTTGCAAAAATAGAATTTAATTTGGATAATTGAATTACATATTACTGTTATATTTCTGGAACCAACTTTCTTCTTGTTCATGCTCATTTTTAACGATACTGTTCAAACAAAATACCAAAATCATTAGAGAGACCCAAATTTACAAAAAAAGCATAATTCAAAGTTAATAAATTAAATTATATTACTTTTCTATCTCGGAAGCCCACTTTATCTTTTCTTTGCTTTTTTGTCTTGGAATCATCATCATCGTCAGAGTCTTTCTCTATTCTACTATGTAATTGTATTCCTTCCGTTACCGTTTCACTTTCAGCTCTAACAGAAAAAAAGTGTTTGAACCTGGAAAAAAAATTGGATATGCTCGTCTTGATACTGACACGAGTTGAAAGTATACAGTATTTTCTTTTTTGTGTTAAATGCAAATAATTATATAATAAACTAAATTTATGATTCGATTTTCCTAGGGATTGATAATATATTTTAATATATCTGAAGTCAAAGTAGTGAAACTACTTTCAGAGGATATCAGTTAATATGGTAGGAAAGGATCTCTGTGACATATTGAACAAAACACTGCTTCCTTCCTTCGCTTATTACATCTTACTTACCATCTATAGTCGATACATGATCCAATGAATGAAATCAATATAAAAGAATACCATATTTTAGAAAAAAGTGGCAACTTTTCATTTTTATTATGTCCAAAATTTTTATAATTTCGTTTTTGTCCATGGTGGAAATCAGTCACATGAAATAGGTATCTAGGATAATTATTAGTGAATATCGATGTCGTGTAACATTTATAAACAGATATTCCAGGGCGTAATATTTTGAGATAACTCATTTCAATATTATGTGACTTTGTTTTGACTGGAAAGTTGAAATGAAAATTGACACATTCATAGTGTTTTCCATTGGTAACATTCGTGCATATCTAGTGTATTACTATTTTTCATTAATGTGTTGAAAAATAGAAGCATGTTGCACTAGTTTTACCAATGGAAAACGCTATCAGTCATTACACAGAAGGTGAGCTCTGAAACAAACTAAAATTAGTGCAACTTATGTTACTCCTTCAATACCTCAGAGTAATGATATTTTTTATTACTCTGAGTTCCATCTCAGGACTATGGACTTTTGGAGTCGACATGAGTATTTACTATTATTTTGATGTATTTTGAATTTTTAGGAGCTTGCATTACATAGAGCGTTCGTGATTGTAAAATCATTATTAATAATAATATGATAAATGATGGCAGTAGAAAAAGCTAGTTAGAGTAATTGTTTGTGATTTCGGGTTTCTAGGCCATAGACTGTTGTTTTTTTTGTGATGATTTGCTGGTGCCCAAGTAGACCAAGTCTGAAGTTTCGAACAAGTACTGAGCGAAAGTAGCCACTATATATTTAAAACAATTCGACTCAAACATAATCTCAATTTAATATTTTCACAGTCAAAAATATACTCTCCCATTCTTTATTCGTTTATTTTATCTCTTGAAATTTCGTAATCAGGAGAACCATATCACTACTATGACGAAACACTCGTTACGATTTAGGGTACTACGACCTACAGGTAATATCAAAATACGTATGCTCTAACTACCGACTTTCAGCGACGCCTATCATTGGAAAATTTCTCAATCTTTGAGAAATCAAATACTGGGGTGAAGGCGAATGAAATTATCGAGTAATTATGGCGAATTCAGGGTTTGCTTTCATTGGTCAATGCCAAAAAAGGCTCAAAAACATTTTTTCCCAACATCGGTTGTCTGATTCCAACTTGAAAGTATGAATTAGACTTGTCGCAAAATTAAAAAATTTGGAAAATTGGGTACCATTTAATGTGTTGCGTGGTAGAAAGTGAGCATGATCCTAACAGTTCCTGTATCTGAACGGTACACATACTATGAGTTCTGTGGTATTTAATTTTGGATGTGTAGAGACCTTATAGTACATCCAGTTGGCAACACCAGTCTTTATTTCCAAAGAGTACACCAATTAAAGGATATTCACGTTAAGAAGATAATGACGTCATTTTTGGTAATTTTCTATATCCAACATAACAACGTTAAAATTTCTAATGAAATGCGTTTAATAGCAATGAAACTAGTAAAATTTAATTTGGCAGTTGCTCAACTAATAGTAAAATTTCAGACGTTGCCGAATCGAAAGAAACTCGAGAACTGTCAGTCTTTCTTTTCTTTTCAGAACTAATCATTTGTTTTGATAAGACCTGGAGCATTGTCGAAACAATCGTAACAAATTTGTGTTTCAACTAAGTAAGTTAATATAAGGTTGATAGCAATAAAACATTACAAAATAATTTGAAAGTTCGAAATAGTGCACATGTTGGCAACGCCGTAACTTGTCATTTTGTGATGTCATTCTCTTGACGTGAATCCTATATTCTATTCTGTATTTTACATGTTGGTAGATAGAAGTGCTGACGCGAGAATTGATCTACTTATAGTTATTTAGATTACTTGGTTTTTGCGAAATTTGAACAATCATGGGAAAGAAAAAAGGTCAGTATTTCTGATTTCACAAAATATAACTAATATCTATTGATTTACTAAGAAGACACTATCACAATTAAAAAATATTTTTTTACTGTTTCTTTGCTGTCAACCCCCCTGCCAAAACCGTGGTCAGACCCAGCACCTATTTTAACGACAATTTGTGCAATTCAACTCATATTTTTAGAAACTTGATGGTTCTATTTTTGAAGTCTGTTTTCTGAAAGTTTAATCCTGATTTCAGTACTACAGTATCAGTTTTTTTAGTATATTTTAATTTCAAATTCCAGTCTCTAAAGTGTATACCTTGGTAATATTCATCAATATGTGAATAATGAGTTGAAAGGCGCTAATTCCAGTTTTAGTTACATTAATTAGTAGTAGATTCTTGTAAATTTCCACTAAAGCAGAAAGATTATGAACTATCTATTTTATTTATATTGCATACATATAAGCACAGCTCAGTTACATATACAGTGTCCTACAAGTACCAGTGATAAACTTAGATATCTAACCTACACTAAAACTAAAATCATAAACTCCATATAGAGGAGGATGTAAAATCGATAAAAGCAGTCAAATGAATAATTATAATTTGAAGTTGCCAAAAGCCGTTGAAGATAAAATGCTAATATATATGTCATACACTCTTGTTACATAGATAATAATTGAGGTATAAGTTTGGCTGGGATAATGCTGAAGATATCAACTGTTCAATAGTAGTTTTCACGAGTATTCAACTGGGGAAATCATGTTGAAGTTGAGAAATGTGCAACCTCGTCTCAGGCGAATATCTGGTTAGCTGAAATTCACCAACTTTTGACGGCCACGGTCAACTTCTAACGTATTAATTTCCGCATGAAATCCATGTTTAGTCAATGGTAATACTATATCAGTGAATATCTTGGTACAGTTAAAATGTACATCTTATCCAATGAGAAAAAACTTGTACGATCAGTTTCCTTCCTAAAAAAAAACTGAGTTGACCTGTGTCACATTTTTGACAGCGATAAACCTGCATTTTTTCGATAAAAAAAGGATTTTAATTTACTTGGAATCAGTGAATGGAGAATTCTGCAAAACTTGGAGAAAACCCAGCCAAGTACTTGTAATGAAATGAAGTTTTCACTGTTCCAATACACATCGTTACCTTGAGAAAAATCCATTATTGATATTGACCTGAATGTTGTGCTAAGAACACATAGTTTATAAATAAATACTGTATTCAGGTTTCCTTATACCACAAAATAGCATGATTTGAAAACCATTATTGTAACAGAAAAAATAAGGTACATATTTCTCCATACAAAGGGTTCCATGTAAGTGAAATTTTTTATCATAACTCTTTTATACATTATATTGTGTAACTCTACATTATTGATATTGAACTGAATATTGTACTAAAAATACTTTGCTTATAAATAAATACTGTATTAAGGTTTCCTTATACCACAAAATAGCATGATTTGAAAACCATTATTGTAACAAGTGTCTTAAACAGAAAATATAAGGTACATATTTCTCCATACACATGGTTCCATGTAAGTGAAATGTTTTATCGTAACTCTTTCTTACATTATATTGTGTAACTCTCCCATGAATGATATCTGATTCAATTTCATAATGAAAACTTATTGATTAGTTATTATTAAAAACAGCAGTATCTTAATAGTATGTTTCAATAATAATGCTATTCTTGTTTGTTAGCCTAATTGCTTCTGAAGTTCCTTTCATCTATTTCGGAGATTGGCAAATTGTTGATAGTGCTCCACGTAACATGTAACTTAATATCTCTCATGTAATTTTTCTTTTCTATCAGGATTGGAAAACATTGGTGGAAAAAAATCATAATCAACCACGGTTTTCTTGATTTTTTTCATTTTATCACACATTTCACCTATATTTTTGCATAAAACGTAGTAAGGTGAAAGGTTAATTAACCGTGATTATTTAATATATGTAGATAACAAAAATGAATGAAGGATAATCATAAAAATAACTAATTTTCATTAAATGAGACATTCAAATCGCTCGCCACTTTTCCAACAGGATTGTTATTTTTGGAAGGACGCCATTGTGTTTTATAGGCAGCAAAGGGGAATTCCCGCGACACAGGGGAATCCCTGCGCCATATGGGACTCCCCGCGATACAAGGGAATCCCCGCGATATAGGGGAATCCCTGCGCCAAATGGGAATCCCCGCGGTACAGGGGAATCCCTGCGCCACATGGGACTCCCCGCGATACAGGGGAATCCCTGCGCCAAATGGGAATCCCCGCGGTACAGGGGAATCCCTACGCCAGATGGGAATCCCCGCGACAAGGGAGAATTCCTGCTCTGAATAGGAATCCCTGCGCCAAATGATGATGTCAAGAATTGTGCCCGAGAAATTTGTAGAATTCTGTAGTGTAGGGCTACGTTCATGAACTTATTCAGAGTATGATATCACTCCAAGTCATTCATAGAAGTATTTTCTGGTGCTCAGAGTATTTGGCGACCTGATTCTAATCACGTGAGTCGTGACCATGCTCTGTCATACTCTGCATACTCACAGGAAGTAAGTTTATGAACGCAGCTATGAGTAAAATGAATTTGGTTAATTTTATACATAAAATAGAAGTGCTGGCGCGAGAATTGATCTATTTTAAGTTATTTAGAGTACTTGGTTTCTGTGAATGTTGAACAGTCATGGGAAAGAAATTTAAAGAAAAAATGTCAGTTTTTCTGAATTCACGAAATATACCTAACATTTATTAATTAACCAAAAATACACAAAGGCACTATCACAAGTAAAAAAGTGATATATTATGAAAAATATTTTTTTTACTGTGGTTCTTTGCCGCCAGCCCACTGTCCGCACTGGAGAAAAGGGGAATCCCCTCGACAAAGGTGAATCTCCGCGAGAAAGGGGAATCCCCCGCGTCAAAGGTGAATCCCGCGATAAAGGGGAATCCCCCGCGACGAAGGGGAATCCCCGCGACAATTTTTTTTTAATTAAAAGGATACATTGCTTTCTATATTTGGATTTTCAGAAAAGTACTTTTGAAAAATATAAGATTGCAGTCTATTCAACTGTCTTTATTTTCAGTGAAAACTCATTAGAGAAAAAACTGTTTTATTATGAAGATATTTTGGAAACTTAGTTTCTTTTACTATGGAATAATAATTTTACAATCTATTACTGGGCGAATCAAAACTCGAAAACAATCTTTTCCTAATTTTTCATACCAAATATTTTTCAAAAACTCACTCCTTCATCTCAACTTCTCGAAAATAAATGAAAGTGTTGCTTACTGGAAAAATAATTCATGACTAGTTTATCATTGAATTGGAAAAAAGTTCTAAAAACTCAATCATCAATTTCTAAATATTTGCCCTCAAAATTGTGTCTACTGTTGAATTTGGTCTAAAAAATATCTCCTTCACCATTGATCCTTGTATTGTGTAAATCTATCTTCCCTGTGTAAATATATTTCTTCTTATTTTCTCAGATTTGACTCTTATATAAAATTTGTGATTTGACTAGTATTGTTAGTTCTGTGTTTGCTAATGTTAGCGGTTATAATGTATTTCCTATTGACCTTCTCCTCTTAGGTTTCCTCAGGGCTTTGTTGTATTCACTTAAGGACCTTTTGTATTGATTTCATATACTTGATTTTCCTAGCGTTTTAAAATTTTTTATGTTTTTTGTGTCATCTGTGCCCAATCTTCATTCCTGTTTGATCTCTGCTTGACGGTGTATGATTTTATCTGAATTATTTTTTCAGAGGAATTATCTCAGAAAGGACCTCAACAGAGACAAGAATCAAGTCAACCACCTCAGCAACAGGGAAGACCACAACAAATGCAGAGAGGTCAACCCCAACAGCAACAGTCCCATGTTCAACCACAATTACAGGTTGCTCCACCACAAGGGCTATGGGGACAACCAACCCAATGGCAGAGAGGTCAGGTCCAATATCCACAGATGGGTCAACCACAATACCCTCCCCAGCAGCATCCACAAATGAGCCAGCCCCAACATCCACAGATGGGTCAGCCCCAACATCCACAGATGGGTCAGCCCCAACATCCACAGATGGGTCAGCCCCAACACTTTCCTCAACATCAACAAATGGGTCAGCCCCAACATACACAGATGGGTCAGCCGCGGGTCAGCCGCGACATCCACAGATGGGTCAGCCACGACATCCACAGATGGGTCAGCCCCAACACTCTCCTCAACATCAACGGATGGGTCAGCCACGACATCCACAGATGGGTCAGCCCCAACACTCTCCTCAACATCAACAGATGGGTCAGCCCCAATATCCCCCTCAACAACCGCAAGCACAATTTCACCCTCAACAACAACCACCACAAGATGCACCATTTCAGCAAGGCGGTAGGGGTAGGCCCCAACAAGGGCAACCACCACAACAAATGCAATCACCACAACAAATGCAGCAACAGCCCCAAAAAAGTCCTCAACACCAGCAGGAAGGGGGTAAAGGTAGGGGTAAGCCTCATCAAGCACAGACGCAGCAAACAAGAGGTAAGATTTTTCAATGTAATAATTATTCACTCATTGGAAAGAAGTTTTTTTGCTTAAATAATGATATTCTTTGCTACTATAATGTGAAATTGCAACTGGAAAACTATTTATTATTTTGTTTTATTGCACCAATCAATGCAACTGGAGCTCTTCCATGACTTAAAAAAATTGTTATTTGGCTAACGCGATTATGTGTTATCCTGTGAATATTAATAAAGGCCGTTTTACATGCCCTTGTTTTCATAGACTATGCAGGTTTTTGGAGTCTCTATTCTTAACCTCAAAAGCAGATATTAGTGATCGGATATCGAAAGCAAATGCCGATATTCGATATCGATATTAATATCGTTAACCAATATCGATATTACCGATATATCAAAAGAATAATATCGATATTTATTAATATCAAATTTCGATATTGAGAATAATTCAAACAAAGTTTTTAAAAGTTATAATAATTATAAGGTAATTTCAGATAATTTACAAAGGAGTCCTGAAAATAAGTGAAATTCACTTTTCATGCAATTTTGAAACCAAAACACAAATACCTATTCAACTGAAAAAGAAAAAATTATTCAAGGAATTATTGAAAGCCTAATTTTCATTAACACTGCTGAAATTCTAAACCAAATTCCAAGTGTCTTTATCTACACTGCGTTGCGTAAAAATAATATTTGAGTTTTTGACCACTCAGTCCGTTCCTTCTTGCTGTCAATGTTTGTCCTGCTTTCAAAAAAGTCTTTCTGTTGGTACTGACGTTGCCATGATTGCTAAATATTTTACAGCAATATTTACAAGTTTAGGGTATATTTCTCTATGCGCCTTCCACCACAACAAAGGATTGGTTAAAACACTTTACATCCCCTTGAAATAGAGGTACCACCCCCGTGCCATGTACATCGTCTATGTGGTAGATGGTGTGGATGTCTTTAATATTTGTGTTAGTCTCCACAAGAGTGGCGGAGCAATTTTTGTTATGTTGGTTGCATAATATTTGACTTCGATATTGAAATTTCGATATTAGGAAAATGGAGATATCGGTCTCGATAATATCAGTCTTCAGTATCGATACTGAAATATCGATATTGGCACTCCCAAATATCGATATTTAAAAATATCGATCTATATCGCTAATCACTGGCAGATATTATTTCTTGTAAATATATATTTTGTTCCATGAAAATTGCTGTCTCCATCTCCCCTTCTCTCTATAAGTTTCTTCTTTCGTCTTCTTACTGTTATGAAATCTTCATTTTCATCATCTTCATTTTGATTTGATAGATTTATGATTTCGTTAAATTTTTGTTTCATTACGATTTCCAAAATGTTTGCAGAAATTTGTTTTATAATAGATTCAGCGATACCCTGATATGACCCTATTCAATGGAATGCCCCTCCGAGTTCTGGGTTTTTGTTATCTTTCTTTTTTTTTATTTTTGAATGTCCCTGTAGAGGTCTTCTTTTTGCTGTGAATTTGTTGAGGATTGCCACATGTTATCCGAATATTGATGACTTTTTTGGTTATTTTCTAGTTATGCAGTTTTTACCCCTAACAGTGTTATCAAATAAATTTGACACTTACAATTGTGACCTTGTCTTTTGTAATTTATGTTTTCCAAAAATGTATCCTCAGTTTGAACCGTATCCTTGAAATTTGTCTAATTATCTATTTCGTTTCTGCATTCAGGTTTATTTTGATCAGCTGTCTGCTTTAAACATACATTTTCTATGATTTCTGTAGGCTGCCAGGTCAGCCATGTTGAAATTTGCTGATATACCTAATAATTGTAATTATTTCAGTGTCTCCACCGACCCAACAAATGGCTAAACTTCAAGTCGATGATTTGCCACCTATGCAGTTTATCAAAGTCCAGCCTGGTACACTGGGTCGTAAAATTCATGTTGAAACCAATCATTTACAACTGAATCTTGGAAAGTTGCGCAGTGCAATTCACTATGATGTCAATCTTGTGCCAGATACTCCCAAGAAATATTTGAGGCTTGTTGTAGAGTTGTTCAGACAAAAACATTTTCCCAAACGATACCCAGCTTTCGATGGTAGAAAAAATTTATATAGCACAACAAGATTACCATTTGATGACTTCATCTCCGATGAAATTGTGTATAAAGAACCAGATGGACGAGATCGAAAGTACAAAGTTGAAATCAAGTTTGCCAATGAGGTTGATTTGACACCGTTACAAAATTTCAGTTTGTCCAGAGATACTCCACGAGAAGCTCTACAGGTCGTAGATATAGTCTTACGAAGTGCTCCAGCAATCAACTTGATTTCGGTGGGAAGAAGTTTTTTTTCGAAACCTACAGGAATTCTTGATTTAGGAGAAGGCATGGAAATGTATAATGGATTTTATCAGTCAGCTATTAGAGGCTGGAAACCCTTCCTCAATGTAGATGTGGCACACAAGGCCTTTCCTAAAAATATTAGTGTAACTGACGCACTGGTGGACCTCTTTGATTCGTGTTATCAGCCTTTCAGAAGAGAGGATCTGAGTAAACCTTTAGACGGCAGACAAAGAGAGACTTTTGAAAAGTACATTAAAACTTTGCGAGTGACCTATGAAATTCCTGGTAATTCATCGTCAAAGAGATCGTATAGAGTGAATGGTATAGATCGACCACCAAGAGAAAAAGTATTCAAATTGGACAATGGTAAAGAGATGACGATTGAAAACTATTTTGCAACCTTGAAAGGATATAGGTTGAGATATCCCCATCTACCCTCGTTGTGGGTTGGAGATAGAAATCGTCCCACTCCAATATTGTTACCTTTGGAGCTCTGTGTGATAGAACAAAACCAAGCAGTGAATAGAAAGATGACGGAAAACCAAACTAGTAAGATGATAAAATATGCTGCCACGAACACAGAGGTACGTAAACAGAAGATCACAACTGCTCTACGACAAGCCAACCATAACCAGAATCAAACTGTCCTAGAATTCGGATTCTCTGTTGCAAATGAATTTGAAAAACTGGAAGCTAGAGTTTTGCAACCGCCCACTTTGCAGTACAATCAAACACAAGACAAACCATTTAAGGGAGTATGGAGAGGAAACAAATTTTTCGTTGGCGTTGAGATAAATAAATGGACTATTGCATGTGCTGACAGAAGACCCCCAAGACCTGATGATCTCAACCGACTTGCAGATATGGTAAGCACTTTCCTATCTAAAGGGTTCACAAGTTGACTCTGTGTACACTGATTTTCACAGAGCTTTCGACAGAGGTTAATCATTAGCTTTTGATTCATAAACTTTGTTTATGCGGCGTTGACAGGCTAATATTGCAGTGGCTCAAGGGCTAACTTTCAGAAAGAACACAAATTATCAGGATTAATCATTACTATTTTCATATCATCGCAGCAACATCGGGTGTTCCCCAAGGATCGCATTTGGGACCACTATTGTTTAAGTTGCTATTTGCTGATGATTAAAAATGTTTTGAAATAATTGAAAGTGGGGCTGATACGTCGATTCTACGCAAAATTGTAAGTGTAAAGAGTGCTATGACGGACATTAAGAACAAAAAGGCATCTTGAGCTGATGGTTTGTCTATAAATATGCTGCAAAAATTGCCCCCGGTAGCTATTGACACGCTTACTAATATAATAAATGAATCTTATGTCTCAGGAACATTTCCAACGTTACTTAAATCAGCCATGTTGATCCCAATTTACAAAGGAGGGGATAGGGAGGATCCATCAAGTTACAGACCGATATCCCTCCTATCTATTGTTGCAAAAATCATAGAAAAATTAGTAAAGAAGCGACTCATGTCATTTGTCATTAAACATAAAATACTAAACGGTTAACAATACGGTTTCCAAACCAACAAAAGTACAAATGACGCTATCTATAAATTTTTACAAAACTTGTACACTAATCTTGATAATTAAGAAGCGACCGCGGCGGTGTTCTGTGACTTATCCAAAGCATTTGATTGTGTGAATCATGGAATACTGCTGCAGAAGCTTGAGTACATCTTACTTGAAAGACTAGGAACAATATGTGAAAGTTTCGGGTGCAGTATCTGAGAAAAAAATGACCAGCGGAGTTCCACAAGGCTGTGTCTTGGGGCCCATATTATTTTTGTTATATTTAAATGATCTCACTAACTTGAATATTAGTGGTAGGTTCAGTTTACTTGCAGATGATGCAACTATAGAATGGCACACTAAAGATAAGCATACTCTCGGCCAATTGATCTCTCTAGATCTAACTGAAATAAAAAGGTGGTGCGATGCCAATCAAGTGTTATCATTTAAATGGGACATCGACAAAATACAACTAAATAATGATACACTCATGAAATCTGATTATAGATTCTTAGGTATTGTATTGGACCATAATTTAAAGTTTGATGAGCATATTATGGCAATGGCAAAGAAATTGTCATCTGGGTGTTATGCTATCAGAGTTATTCGAAATGAAATCGGTTATCTTATTGCTAGAGAAGCCTACTTTGCTCTCCTGGAATATCACATCAGATATGGGATAGCATTTTGGGATGCCTGCTCACAAGCGTTGTTCTCAATGATCTTTAATCTACAAAAGAGAACACTGAGATACATATGCCATGTTAATCACCGAACTTCATGTAAACCCTTATTCATATCTCAGAGGATACTCACGCTAACATCAATCTTACTGTTAGAATCGACTAGTTTAGTTCATAAGCATAAACTACATTTATTAAAATCTGACACTGCACATAATTCTAGGGCAAATGGCCAATATATACCTTTATTAATCCCCAGAACCACCCAATGCCAAAATTCAATTGTTCACAATGGTACGAAAATGTTCAACCATCTACCGAAGCAAATTAAAAATATTCATAGCACTCAGAAATTCAGAAGGGCTGTAAAAAAATTTNGCAGTGACGGCCTCGCACGACCCACAAGCATTCAAATACAATATTTGTTGGCGCTTACAGCCGCCGAAAGTTGAAATTATTGAAGATCTCGAAGCGATTACTGTGGAGCAGTTGAAATATTTTTATGAAAAAAATAGAGGCATGAAACCTGAACGGATTGTATTTTTCAGAGATGGTGTTTCAGAAGGCCAATTCGACCAAGTGAGGCAGGCTGAAATCAGGGCGATCAGATCAGCCTGCAAAAAAGTTCAGGCTTCTGATTATGAGCCAAAAATAACTTTTCTTGTTGTTCAGAAACGTCACCATACTCGCCTGTTCCCAACGAATCCTAGAGATTCTGAAGACAAGAACTTCAACGTACCTGCAGGTAAGATGAAAATTTATAAATAGTTTAATCTAGAACGATATAGAATTTGTTGAAAAATTGAATGAAACATAGCGATACTTGATGAGAATTCTTATCAAAATCACCATATAATTTTACTACGAAAGGTTTACAAGGTCTGCTCAAAAATTGAGGTGAAAGTTCAAATTTCGCGGGCTTCGTACACGATTAGCGATTTTTGACGTGATAAGTTCCTATGGGAGGGTAAACCGCTTCGTTACCTAACGCAAAACGGCGCCAGTTTGTCTGGCTTCCCTCTCTCTCACGCATACGTAAGCGGAAGGCAGGCTCCTCCTTTCTCGCTGGACAGACGCTCAGTGTTTAGTGTGTGTTGGACATATACTGTTGACGGTATTATGAAAATCTAGTATTGTACACCTTGAAAAGGTCTACAAAAAAGTCCGCGATGGTATATGTCTATCTCTTAGAGATAACCCACAATAACCATTTTTATCATTGAGAAATAATGGCTTATAAACGAACGATTCTAAGCAATACAGCATTAATCCTTATGCAAGTACCTTAAATACATTGTGCATTCAATATAGATCAATATGACCCTTAAAAGTATTTTATTTCTGACCGGGATATTATAAGCTCATATCGTCATAGTTACGCTATCAATAAAGAGGGTCATAACTCCCTTGGGACATTATAGATTTTATAATTCCCTCTACCTTTCACAAGTAAAAATAAATAGAAATGAAAACTGAACCATATTTTATTTATTCACGTCATTACAAATAATAAAACCGTTTCAAAAATGAACAAAATTTTATTGAAATCGGTCAGAAATAAAATTATCTATGTACCACGGGAATTAATGAGCCTTAATAACCTCAGGCAATTGCTGTTTCTCGGGCCAGAGGCCCTCGGGACGCAAACTTTGCCATCGGTAATTAAGGCCCTCCTAATTCCCTTGATACATAAATAACTATAATTCAAGTGAATATTTTTCGAAGATATTACAGGCTTGAAATGCAGGGAAATCGCGGTTGCGGCGGTACCGGCCACGGGCCGGTGGCGCGTGCCTATAAATAGCGCCTTCATGTGTATATTTAGTATCAGTATCGCACCCGTGCGGAGCCTGGGTGGATCGCTAGTATACAACGTAAAACTACTGAATCTTACAATACAAAACCTTTCTGGCGTGATAGTTATTAATATGAATATGTTAGATATGTTTGTAAATTATGGTTTCCTATTTCAAATAAATACCATTACATTTTTTCAGGTACATGTGTCGATACGACGATTACACATCCTTTCTTGCAAGATTTCTACTTGGTTTCTCATGCCAGTATTCAAGGAGTCGCAAAGCCTACGAAGTACTGCACACTTTGGGACGACAACGATATGTCTCATGATGAGATTGAGGCGTTGACATATCACTTGTGTCATATGTTTACTCGTTGTAATAGATCAGTAAGTTATCCTGCGCCAACATATTACGCCCATTTAGCTGCTGCAAGAGCAAAGGTTTACATCGAAAACGATAGGATAGATTTGGATAATTTGCAAAGAGAATTTGCGAAATATCCCATTCAGGATGTTATTCGGAAGGGAAAACCAATGTTTTTTGTTTAGGGTTTTGGTTTTTTATAAGATATATACTCGAATATGTTAATTTTATTTTAACTATACATACATTTACGAGGGTGGTCTGAAACTTGACAAAGATAGAAGACATTTTTTTCAGTTTTTTTAATTTTTCAACATAGTTCAACTCTACAAACTTCTCCCAGCGATTCTCCAATCTCTGTAACCCGTCCAAATAGTACTCAGCGTTTTTCTCTGCATAATAATTATTCACAAAGGTGATTGTCTTTTCATGGGACCAAAATCTCTGTATTCCGAACGCAATTTTAATATGAGGAAACAAAAATAAGTCGCTTGGGGCTAGATCTGGTGAGTAAGGCGGATGGTCAAGCAGTTCAAACCGTAATTCATGGATTTTTGCCATGGCAACCGCTGAGGTGTGAGATGGTGCGTCATCTTGGTGAAACATAATTTCTTTTTTCTAAAAATGTGGCCGTTTTCACCGCAAGTTCTGCTTTCAGCTTGTCAAATCATGATGCGTAGTAATGGTTTTTCCTATTTAAAGACAATCGATTAATATGTCCATTTTATGACATATAATCATATCAAACTATATAAGTCAACAGTGGGGGAGGGAAGGTTCTCTTTCTTTCACCTCCTTTATATTTTTCTTCTTTTTCCCATCCCACCACCCCAATGTACGTACGATCTGTCTTTTTATCCCCCGGTTCCTAGCACACCAGACAAAGCTCGACACTCTAGTAGACGATGCATGTGCTGCTATAACCCGGCATACCACAGCAGTCCAGTCCAGTTAGTCGAAAACACGAAGTTACTTATACTTACAGCCAAGCACAGAAAACCTCCAACCTCAGTAGCACACCATTCCGGACACAGGCTTGCAAGCTGCAAGACAGTCTTTGTCTCCCGAAGAAGCTTTTGTTATGTAGCAGCCAGTTACGTAACAGGAGGAGCATTGGTCACATGCGCCTGAAGATAGGAAGCAACGACCATCCAAAATATAGAGAGAGAGAGAACTCCATGACTATCCCAAAAAACAATCGCCATTACTATCCCAAGAAACAATCGCCATGACTATCCCAAAAAACAATCGCCATCACTTTTCCGGCCGAAAAAACAGTTTTTGACTTTTTTGGAGCCGGTTCTACCTTTGCAGTTCACTGTTTAGACTGTATTTTTGTTTCGGGCGTATAATGGTGTATTCAGGTTTCATCTACAGTAGTTAATCGGTTTTGGTCTAACGTGAGCAAACGCGGCACCCAATGCGCGGGCAGCTTTCTCTTGCCTAAATGTTGATTAAATATGTTCGTAACTTCTGCTATCTCTCTCACTTTAATTCGGCTGTCGTCTAGCCCCACTTGGTGAACTTTGGCGATGTTTTCATCGGTAGTTCCAGTTTTTAGACGTCCCGAACGTTCATCGTCTCCCAAGCTCTTACAGCCACTTTTAAATTCAGCTTCCCAAAATTTCACTGTGGTAAATGACGGTGCAGAGCCCCCATACACCGAATCGAACTCGTCTTTGATTTGTGTAGGCGTATTGCCTTTCAAAAACACATTTAATGACAGCTCGGTACTCGATTTTGTACATTTTCATAACACATTAACTCACTCAAACGACTGTTACTGCTGCGCGTCCAAAATGACTAAAACTTTGGTGATTAACTGTCAACAGATGAACAACAAAATTCCCTAGCTTTTATTTACTAGTGCTGCCATCTTTATGTTGAAGTTGGAAACTTTTCAGACCACCGTCGTATACCTAACATAACATTTATAGAATATGATATATTGATTGAGAAAAATAAATTACTTATTCCATGTATTTTTTTTTCTTTTCGGTAAACAAATTTTGACCGGAATAAGTGAGGGCGATGACGTCTCGAAACCAAGCCTCGACACCGTCCTCTTTCACTGCAATAAGGCGAACTAATGGTAAACTAGAGTTGAAACACATCACACAACTCGGTTATTTGGTTGAAAATCTCTGTGGATATTTTGTTTGTTGGATTGGAATAGAAATTCTATCGATTAGGAATTATTTGTTTTGATAATTAGGTAATAAGTGTAAACTACAGCCCAAAAACAACACATTCATGATTCAACACCAGTCAGCGATGTTTCGACCCACCATAGGTCTCATCAATGGTGCTAGGTTGCACAATAAATGCGTTGCTGGACTCAACAGTCCTTGAAGAACAAGCCTGAGTAAGTAAAATCGAAAATGTTTTGTAGTTTCTGCGTTGAGAAAAACGAGCACTTCGATCGTTACCTCATTGCCTTCAATAATGTATACCGCAGTAGTAGACGAAACGTCAGGCATGACGGCCAAAAAGTCCGGAAAATAGCTTTCACATAGTTGCCTCCGGCCGTGATCAATGTAGTTTACTTTTTAATATATTTAGAAAAATTGTTCTTGTCTCCTTTCCTCTCAAGATAACTCTGTATACGCCACTTCATAATGAAGAAGTACATATTAACTAATTTTCTAAGTTGTAGAAGATATCGTTGCAGGTAAGTAACCAATTATTTTAAGTACGAATATGATTGGTTTTTGTAGTTCTATTAGTAACAGATCAGTCAAGTAAATAAATTCCAAAAGCATTTAATATGTATTAGATTTGAGAAACTAGCCCACGTAGTGTCACATCAAGATTCCATTTGAAGTTTGGAGGTAAAGGGATGGATGTGCATACCTTCTGATTGTGTCAACCAGACTTAATAAGAGTTTAGACCTGCCATTTATGTCGTAGACGATGGTATGAGCTATCAGGAATATATCTGAAAGTATACTACTACTTTTCCTATAGACCTCAAATTCTAGATCCTGATAACTTCTAATCACTGAGACATCCAAGAATGGTAACTTCTGGTCATTTTCATATGTAAACTTGAAAGTTGGGGTTCTGTTGAGAGTTAAAAAAGTCATCTACCTTTGATTTATTTATATCACAAATCGCAAGTACATAGTTTACACGTTGGATCCAAGTCTAATTCATATCTGCTTATGAACAAATCAGCTACGAAGGGGAACAGTGGGTTTTCCATTGCCGCATCCTCATGCCGTCTGTAGAAACAGTTGTTGATAAGCAAAACAGTGTATCATACAAAAGTGTCTGTTTGGACAGAGATCAGAAATAGTGAGAATTAGATTAACATTTGCGCTTCAAGCTATTTAAATTAGTTTTGAGGATCGATCGATAAAAGAGTGTGCATACGTCATCAACTTATGCATCTGGCACAAAGTAATGTATCTAATGCAGCGAAAAACGCAACCTTTCAATGACCACTTGCTTTTATTTTTGAAATTCACTAGTGGTGAAAGCCGTATGTTTTGATTTTGGGTCATTAAACTTAATTACTTTTTAGAACCTGTTCTATTTTAATTTTTTGTACGCTGTTGAGCGTACAAGAAATAAAAAGTATTTTTACATGCGATAACCGGCTGCGAGACTACATCAGCAATGTTCGGAAAGGATAAAACATCAGTATTGAAATTGTTTGAATAAAATGATTTCAGTGATTGTGCTAAAGTATTAAGAGAAATTGACTCTTCTCCTCAAACGATAATCACAATAAAAGAAATTAGCTTTCTCCTTGTTGTTTATGGAACAAAAAAATGTATCGACAAGTATACATATTCAACTTCTATAAGAAAAACATGGAACAAGAAACAAGTACAACTAACGTCTTCCTCCAACATAAGCTTCTGCTCATCAACACTTGTATCGAGTATACTATCAAGTTCAAACAAGGCTCGGCAATCAACAGAACCTCGAAGGCTTGGGTTGGAAATTAACAGATAATACTGTTGTGGGTCATGCCCGAGAGAAATTAGCGCCGGCCGCCACTGGTAACCATAAACCAAACGTGACGTAGCTGAGAGCGCGGGGATGGCAATGTTCCCTGCCGCTCTAGAATAATCAAGATACATGCTACCGATGTCGATGGAACTTCGGCGAAAATTCCACGGTGTTCCATTGCGATATTTAAACGCTGGCTGCAAGCGTATTCCGACAGTCAAGTACACAGTGAAGTGGAGGTTACAGTGCGGTACGCGAAGTGATCTAGTAAGGCGATAGACATTCAAATGATATTTGAAATTTTCAGTTGAAGTGTTTGTTGTATTTCAAGTGAAATGAAGTTAAGTTTGAATATTCAGTGTAGTCAATTATTGGTCGACCCACGGGTAAAAACGTAACAATACTTTGGAACCGATACAAATTATACTTCCACCTGCTCTGAAAAAACTCCTAGATACTATGTTTTGCAATTGCAAAAACGTTTGTAGTCCTAAACGTGGCTATAGAAGAGTATTAGGAATATTGCGATCATCATTTGCACTAATTTCCAAGGCCAGTATTGCTCGAATGTTCGATAGGACGGTAGCCTGGTGGGTTGACGTGGGTGGTTATTTCCATTTAGTCAATCGACCGCTGTGCGAACCGGTGGTTCGAATCGCAAGGCCAGACGATCGATTTTCACTTTCTATCGTCCAACGACCCGTGTTAGGAATCACACGTTAAAAGGTAAGACCTCATTAGTACTAAGAAGACAAGACCGTTGAAGAGTTTGAATCAGATTAAAATATTACCAGAAATTTGAACTACAGTTTAAATCAATCTCCATCAATCAATAAATAATCATCATGCAGTAAATGCAGTATTTTCCCTAAAACTTTGTCATAACAGATAGTGGAGTATGCCTACCGGGGAAACCACGGTAGAAAAACTCGCCAACTACACTGCCTCATAGGTAGGGTGGAAATATGTGCATATCATATAGAACGTAACTCTTCAACTTTTAGAATAGTGATATCTTAGGAGGTTTGATTCTTAGAAAAAAGTTGATAATATTATTATCTGAGCTATATTTTTGATAAAACTTACCGCTTTTTTGAAAAAACTGCCAACAAAATTCTTTGACCATGAATTATTCCTTTGGCACACAATCCATCAATCAAACATTTATTGATTCAGTTTTCCTGCACAATCACATTAAAAAAAAGACATAACATCATAAAATACTGGCTGATTCAACAGGTCAAACAAACATAAAGAAGTCAATATAAAACATACATTGAAAAAAGTTAATAAACTACAATCAAATTAGGATTCAATGAGAAACTCATCCACAGAGTAGTATGCTTTTTGCAATAGAAAAATCTTGAGTCGTCTTTTAAAGACATTGATATTTGAGGATTTAATGTCCTCACTAAGCTTATTATATAGCTTAACCCCAAAGCACATGGGGTGATTCTTTGATACTGTCAATCTACTATAAAGTTGATGTAGTTGAAGAGTTATTTCTGGTGAAATATTCATGGATTTGCTCATTTCTAGGAATAATTGAAATATTGTTTATATATATTATCAAAGTTTGGTAGATACACAAACCAGGCATTGTTAATAAACTATAATGAATGAATAATGGCCTACAGTGTTCACTTGAAGATGCACCAGTCAGAATTCTGGTTACCTTTTTCTGAATAATAAAAACTTAAATCAGCTGTAGGTGATAAGCCCCACTGTTCAAGACCATACGAAATTACTGACTGAATTAAACTGTGGTATAAAAGCTTGAGAACATCAAGAGAGACTGTTTGTTTTAACCGACGAAGTAAATATATATATATTTACTGAGCTTCAGTTTGACACTATCAACATGGAACTTCCAGGTAAGTTGATTATCAATATCAACACCTAAGAATTTAGTACAATTAACTTGTTGTAAAGTTTCATTATTCAATAAAACCAAATAGCTTTCATCAGTTGTTGAGATCTATGGGGACTTTTGGCACTTTATTTCTACTGCTCTACTCAAGGTCTCTACCAAAATTCTACTCTGTCGGAATTTTTTTCATTTGAAATGTCTATTTTGACCGGGTAAAAAAACAGCCGAGAAAAAAACTAACGGTTTTTATTTTAGGTGCTGCAAATAATTTTCCAAACCAAATTAAAAACAATGCCATATTCATATGTAAAAAAATAACGTGAAACCCATTTCGAACATATCTAGCTCCACCTCTGCGATATGGGAGTTATCTAATCACGATAAAGAATTTATATTGAACATGATACATGATAAAATTCGGATTTATAGAAAAAATATCATTCGCGAACAGAGTTGCTTTGTTCAAGACTAGTATTTGAAAGAAAGTAGTTTGTGTGTCTACAAAAATTCAATAAGCGTTGTTTTGTTTGTAAAAAAATTGAAATTTGTTTATTTCTAAAAATAGTAAATTTATATATTCTTTGGTGACACAAAAAAATGGGAAGGAAAAAAGGTCAGTATTTTTTAATTTTTGAGACAAGGGAATGAAATTATTTACCTTTCATGTGTGCCGAGTGAGCGCTATTTCGAAAATAGACAAACTTATTTATGTTGTAATAAAAATAGTATCTTTATTAAAGTTATATTTATTCACCATTGACGAGGTCATTGCGATCAATGACGTAGTTCATTACAATCACCTGTCGGGGAAACACAGAGAAGGCGTAGTAGGTAATTTTTACGGATCTGTTCATATATTAATAATTAATATAACCACTTTTTATCATAGTACCGAAATGAGTTGTTAGAACATTTTATATCTCTAGGATATTAGGTATTAAAAATTTCAATTCTCCTTCGATTTCTTTTTTTAAGTAATGCTTTTATTTGGTCCAGTCTCTTGACTATATATTATTTCTTATTCACTGAATTCAAAGTCATGAAAAATTAAATTAACAGTGTTGTAGAAATTTCAATGTTTTACTCTCTACTTTCAGGCAAATGCGTGAGTATTTCATTATAGGTTTCATTAAAAAAGAAAATTGATTGAATATAACAAGGTACACAAATACTCGATAAAACTCAAAATTGCTAACCAAGAATATATTGGCAATAGAAATCCAAAAACACAGGAATAATTTCAATAGAAAGGAAGAGGCAATGAACATTAGTAAAATCTGGCTACCTGTCCTTAATTGTACACAAACGAGGTCATTAATTCCGATTAAGAGAAACGAAACCACGCCCACCAATGTTATAGAATCGAAGACGAATTTAAAAATTGTAGTTTCAGCCTTGAGAACTACTCGAGTACTTCGACCGTTATCTCATCGTCTCTGATGTCTACCGCAGGCGTAGACGAAACGTCAGGCACAGAAACCTGCAGACCACGAACAAAACATCGAAGAGGAGCTTTGATATAGTTATTAAACGCCATGAAACTTTACACTCTTTGATTCTCAAAAGGGTTTGCAGTATGTGAATATGTAGCTTTTGTTACCATTGAAAAATAGTGGATACAATGAGTATTGCCAAAGTGCGACTTTCTCTATTGGTCAACAATCGAATTCAATAGTTATATCGCCATTCATACGGACATTCATCTCACATCGATATTATCATTCCATTTTTGACATCGAATTGCTCTTTTGCTGTGATCTCTCGTGATTAAAAACAACCAAATTTTGCGAAATTGGTCACCCTATTGTAGAGGGTGTGGGGGTTTCATACTCCAGTTTTATCTGCTTCTAGCTTCAGTACTAGATATGGTCACAATTTCAGGCTGATCTCGAGATAATTTTGTGCTACCTATATCTCGAACTTTTTGTTCTTGATTAAACTTCGTTAAGGTAGCAGAATTCACCGGGAAAACATATTCTTACAACTACAGGTGCTTCTCTACTTGTTGGTCCAAAAGAAAACTGAATGGATTCCAGTAACCTGCTCTATAAAATATTCATCACTATGTGTGTTTTTCTTATTTACAAATGGGTTTTTATTTTTCGGTGTTTCCGTTATAATTCAATAGCTTCTCGCCTCAGCTATTTCTGCAGTTCAACAGTTAAGCTAACAGACCCAAGGATCTAAAAAACCACGAAAAATTCAGCCGAAGAGAATATAAGGTATTAATTATATTCCTGGTGTGATGGGATTTCTCACAATCTATATCATATCGAAGATAAGTTATCTCAGGTAGAGAATTCTCGAAACACGAATGCAACAGAATCATTGCGTCACTTTTTATACTTTTCCGTTGAAGAGAGATGGGCATATGCGTTGTCATACGCAACATGATGCATTCCTGTTTCGAAAATTCCACTTCAGGTCTGCTGATGATGTCCGGAAGGTCTCGTTTCACCATAGCACACAGTCAGATCAGAGAAGAAAGATCCCCCGGTCCACTTTTTTCTGTATCTCATCATTTCCATTATTCATTCAGGGAATTACGCGAAAACTAGAAAAATCAATAGGTAATAAAAATATGTGACTTTTCTGCGCTTCCGTGAAAACACTCGCCACAATTCGCCTTTTTCATAGTTCACTGATCTACATCACACCTTTCTGTCTTCAAGGTAAAGGAAAATCTCAAGAAATTCAAGATGCCTCATCTAGTGACCGGACTCAATCCGTACCATCTCAACCATCACAAGAAGGTCCTTCTATTAGACAGCCCGTGGGGGCACCCCCTGCCCAGCAAGGTAAGGATCTGATAATGAAAAATAGGTAATGAATTAGAAACGGACAACTATTGATTTTTTTTTCAATTAATTACCTGTAGGTACTCTTACCGTTGGGCAGAGCTCGCAAGCAGATCTTTCGTTTTTTGAACATCACTATACTCTATTTCCTAATATGAAAAAGTAATGAATGCTCATTATGAATACAAAATGTTCCCCAAACAAAATGTTTTGATTTCGTTGTGATTTGCCACAGCCGATATACATTTATATAATACTTTACCAGATCCACCTCAGTTTTGAATGGCAAACATGTTGCAAAGAAAAGATGGTCGTTTTATTACCTGCAGTGGCATGCTTTTGGGTATTCAATCAGAAAAAAAACTTGTGGAAACTAGAAACTATATTTATTTATATACAATCATTATCGTTATAATATTTTTATTTGAAATATTCACATAAAAATACATAGGTATGTATGTAGGTCAGTCGGTAGCCAAGCGGTTCGGCGTGGGTGTTTTGTTCACTCACTCGAATTGACTGCCGTGTTGGTCGGTGGTTCAAGCCCTAGTCTGAACGATCGATCTTCACTTGCTACCGTCCAACCCGTGTTAGGAATCACACGTTAAAAGGTAAGACCTCGTTAATCCTTAGCTCGCACAAGTTTCGACTTCTGAGGGTTGTCGTTCGTAGGGGTGCGACAGCTGGTTAACGGAAAAACAGATTTTAAACAGATTTAAACAGAAACAGAACAGATTATCAAAGATATTAGGTCTAAGCAAAAATTATGATTTGTTATCATCAGATAAATCCGATGAATCTTCGTCGAATCCTATGATCAAAGATTCTAAAATTTCTTCAACTGACTGGTCTAATTAACACATGTCCTCTTCTTTCATAATATGTTCAATATATTTTCGCCATTTTTCAAAATGGACATTTTTAAGGACTCCTTGAAGAGTATTTTGACATCTTTCATTTCAAATGTCGCGTTTGTTCTTGCAACAAAACCTTCTACTCAATTAGGATGAGTGAGGTTTAACATTTGCTCAAAATATTCTCCAAACACATCGTCCTTCATGTCTTCATTGAAATCGCTTTGACTCAAACATAAACCATCCTCAATAAAACCCTCAACACTTATAATGTGGATGATTCTGTCTCTTTCCTTTTCCAGAACGCGACTTTAATCCGGTAGACCAACCTTATATATACCTTATATACCTATCGATGATTTTGAAACTCCTCTCATTTCCATCAGAGTATCTATACGAAAGATTTTGGTGTATGAGAGCATCATATACATGATCATCAGCAGAAAAACACATTTGATCATGATTGAAATAGGCTTTAGAATTTGCCATAGAAATACAGGTTATATTTCGCTTTTTTCAGAGGGACTGCCTCAGACAGGACTACAACAGAGACAACCGAGTCAACCTCAACCACTTCAGCAACAAGTTGGGCCAGTTGATCAGTCACGAGTTATCCATCCGCAACAGGTGCAGATGCCACTACAAGAAACTCAGAGGGGTCAATTGCCACAACATGCTCCGAGAGGTCAACCGCAACACTATCAGCATCAGCCTCATCATCTTCAACCACAACAGCTACAACCTCAATTTATGCCTCAACAAGAGCAGAGGGGCCCCTTACCACAAGGGCCGTACGGTCAACCAGTACAGTTTCAAGGAAATCAGCCCCAATACTTCCATCAACATCCACAGATAGGTCAGCTCCAAAACCCTCTTCAATATCAACAAGTCGGTCAGCAACAATATAATCCACAAAATGAACAGTTGGCTTATCTTCAAAACTCCCAGTATCATCCACAACATTCCCAAAACCCTCCTGCACATCCACAGACGAGTCAGCCCCCATATTCTTTGCAACATCAACAAATGGCTCAGTCTCCTCCTCCTCTTCATCAGCAACTAGCACAACAACCCGAGAGAATGTCACAGCAACCACTAGGGGGAAGGGGTGTGCAACAACGGCAACCACCACAACAAAGACTGGTAGGCCAGCCGCAATATCAAGGACACTTGGAGGGAAGTCCACAGCAACAACAAGGAGGTAGGGGTAGGCCTCAACAAGGGCAATCACCACACCAAGCAGGGATAGGCCAGTCACAACAAGGTGGAAGGGGTAGAGCCCAGCATGGTCAGCCATCACAGCCGCAGCAGCATCAAGGAGGTAAAGGTAGGGGTAGGCCTCAACAAGGGCAACAACCTCAGCATCCACAACAAACTCAGAGTCCTCAACAAGCTCAGCATTTTCAACAAGTTCAGCATCATCAACAAGCTCAGCATCCTCAACAAGCTCAGCATTTTCAACAAGTTCAGCATCCTCACCAAGCTCAGCATCATCAACAAGCTCAGCATCCTCAACAAGTTCAGCATCATCAACAAGCTCAGCATCCTCAACAAGCTCAGCATCCTCAACAAGCTCAGCATCATGAACAAGCTCAGCATCATCAACAAGCTCAGCATCCTCAACAAGCTCAGCATCCTCAACAAGTTCAGCGTCCTCAACAATCAAGAGGTAGGACTTTCAAGTAGAAATTTTTCGTAGACATTATTATTTTTTGCTGAAAAGGTATATAGTTTTTTTGAACATGGGTATAACTTAAGTACCTAATAATTATTTTAATCGAACATTTAGAAATTACGCACAAAATCGCTCACCAAACGTAAATGAACTTTCATATGATCCACGATAACGAAAATATCTCAGGACTTAAATGGCTCCTGATTCATATATTGAGTGAAACGAGTTATAATAAAATAATAATTTACCAATTTACCAATCACCAATTTATTGGTGAATACCAAAGGGCCATCGATCGAAGTCCTTCAGCCAGTGTATAACTTTTTAAATATTTGCAGTGATTTTAACATATGCTTACATAATAGATACATAATATATATGATAGGTACATAATACATTATATTTCTGACAAAAAAAATATGACAGTGATTTGATGTTTTCCCAAATAGTTTTTTCCGGGTATTTGAATTTGGATGGTTGTCCTTCAGCTCTTTCCCTACATAATTCCTCCAAGTTAGTTTCATTTTTGGCAAAGCGGTATCCTAGGTCTGATAGTCTCTACTTTATAGGTTTCACTTTTGTAGTTCTATAAAGCAGTGCGTTTGAGGGATTGTGTAATATGTGCTGAGGGTGACGCATTTTGGTAATACTCCTTAGAGTAGATATTTCAGCTGTTTAGAGATTTTTTAATGCACGATTACGACAATTTGAATAGATTACATGTGCATATTCGAGAAGTAGGCTCCATATCATTTTATATGTTTTAGCTGCAGTTTTAGTGTTGATTCCTCGTTTTTTAAATGTCAGACTTACAAAGTGTTTTCCTCTATTGATGCATTTCTTTTTAATCATTTTTGTATGGCTGTTCGTTATAATATATTCCCACAAAATTCAGAAGTTACCTAAATTTTCTAAAACTATCGGAATTATTCTTCGAACCAATCTCCGAATTAACTGCGACAGTGGCGTAATTCATTTCATAACGACAAGGCAGTTATTGAGCCCACAGTCAACATTTTCTTCAATGATGATGTTTGACTGTATCTCAATCATTTTTTTATTCAATATCGAATCGATTATGACTGTATCATTGTAATTTCCAGTGGAACCGCCTACCCAACAAATGGTTAACCTTCAAGTCGGCGATTTGCCACCTATGCAGTTCATAAAAATCCAGCCTGGTACACAGGGACGTAAAATTATAGTTGAAACCAATCATTTACAGCTGAATCTTGGACAGTTACGCAGTGCTGTTCACTACGATGTCAATCTTGTACCAGAAACGCCAAAGAAATATTTGAGGCTTGTTGTAGAGTTGTTCAGACAGAAACATTTTCCCAAACGATACCCAGCTTTCGATGGTAGAAAAAATTTATATAGCACAACAAGATTACCTTTCGGTGATTTCATCTCCGATCAAATCGTGTACCAAGAACCTGATGGACGGGATCGAACATACAAAGTTGAAATCAAGTTTGCCAATGAGGTTGATTTGACACCGTTGCACAATTTGAATTTGTGTAAAGATACACCCATGGAAGCTTTGCAAGTCGTAGACATAGTACTGAGAAGTGCTCCAGCAGTGAATCTTATTTCAGTGGGAAGAAGTTTTTTTTCTAAACCTGCAGGAATTCTTGATTTAGGAGAAGGTATGGAAATGTACAATGGATTTTATCAGTCAGCTATAAGAGGATGGAAACCATTCCTTAATGTAGATGTGGCACACAAGGCCTTTCCAAAGAATATTAGTGTAATTGATGCACTGGTGGAACTCTTTGATTCTTATCATCAGCCTTTCAGAAGAGAGGATCTGAGTAGACCTTTAGACCCCAGGCAGAAAGAAACTTTTAGAAAATACATCACCACCTTGAGAGTGACCTATGAAATTCCTGGAAATCCTTCATCCAAGAGGTCATATAGAGTGAATGGTATAGATGAAGCACCACGTGAAAAAAATTTCAAATTAGACAATGGTAGACAGATGACAATTGAGAATTATTTCGCAACTGAGAAGAGATATAGATTGAGATACTCCCATTTACCATCACTATGGGTTGGAGATAGAAATCGTCCCAATCGAATATTGTTACCTCTAGAGCTCTGTGTAATAGAGCAAAACCAAGCAGTGAATAGAAAGATGACGGAAAACCAAACTAGTAAGATGATAAAATATGCTGCCACGAACACAAAGGAACGTAAAGAGAAGATCACAACTGCTCTACGTCAAGCCAACCATAACCAGAATCAAACTGTCCTAGAATTTGGATTCTCTGTTTCAAATGAATTTGAAAAACTGCAAGCTAGAGTTTTGCAACCACCCACTTTGCAATACAATCAAAAACAAGACAAACCATTTAAAGGAGTATGGAAAGGAAACACATTTTTTGTTGGCGCCGAGATAAATAAATGGACTATTGCATGTGCTGACAGAAGACCTCCAAGACCTGATGATCTCTCCAGACTGGCAGACATGGTGAGTACTTCATTTGTCCGAGGAAGTATCATATTCAATAAAGCTTTCATACTTATTTTTCTCGTTACTACAGTCTGTAATGTTTCATTACCTTTTGTACAAGCATGATTCTGTAACAATTCTATAACATTATGATATAAGACAAGCAACATTTTGTCGTAAGATTGCAAGAAATGTTGCGATAATTAATCAACTACAAGTTGAGTTAAACGTGTTTTTATATAACCAATAATTGACTACATTGAATAATCAAACTTAACTTTATTTCACTTTGAATACAACAAACACTTCAACTAAACTTCAACTATTATTTGAATGTCTACCGCCTTACTAAATTACTTCGCGTACCGCACTAAACGTCCACTTGACTGTCCCGATATCCTCGTGGACAGTCCAGTGTTCAGTATCGTAATCGAATGCCGTAGAAATTTCGCCGAAGTTCCGTCGAAATCGGTAGCATTATTCTTGCTGCTTCTAGAGTGGTGGGGAGTCATCGTAAATTCGCGCGCTCTCAGCTACGTCACGTTTGGTTTATGGTTACCAGTGGCGGCCGGCGTTATTTTCTTTCGGGCATGATTGACAACAATATTTTAAGATATTTCTGATTTTTGCTGAAACTGATCCAAGATCGTGCAATGCATCCCAAACAGTGTTTAGTGCGGATTTGTGAGATTTTCTCCACACACCACAACGGTCCTCAAAACCCTTGCCATCGTTCAAATTTTACATGATTTATTCACCAGAGTCATGGAAAATTAGACGTTTTGGATGCGCCCCACTCAGAAAAGCCGTGGCGGACATTTCAACGATGTTATATTCCACACATACTGGCATCAATAGGTCTTTCAAACGCATACAAAATCTCGATGATATCTTACACACACTTTATTATACAGGGTGGGCCATCGAAAACTTAACATTGAGGTTTTGGGTACTAATCTTGCAAATCCTAAAAAACGCTCAGGCAGGTCGATTTTTATTGGGAGGAGGACAGTTTTTCCCCCATTTAAAGCGTCGTCACTTCATCCTCGGAGCAGAGGGTGAAGAACCCTTGGAATTTTAATAGGGAACTGGGGGAGTGTCGCACATCGTTTGAAAGATCTTGGAATTCTCTAAACAATGGTGTACTTTTTTTTAATTTGGACAACCATATTAAATTTAAAGTTGAAGTTACTTTATTCTCATGTTAGCATATGCTCAAAATGGGCACCTCCAGCTTCCATGGAATAATAGAGATTCTGCTGGAAACGTTCTCGAACATTGTGGAGCATTTCTGGAGTGATTTGGCGACATTCATTTGTGATTCGTTGCCGTGAATCTTCAACTGATATAGGAGGAATACGGTAAATTCTGCTTTTCAAATGACCCCACAGAAAGAAATCTAACGGCGAAAAGTCTGGTGATCGTGGTGGCCATTCGATAGTGCCCTTCCAATCCAGTGAAACGGAAAAGTCTGATCTAAGTACTGCCGAACAGGCAGAGCATAGTGCGGAGCAACCCCATCTTGTAGAAATATTAACAGATCCTCCCGATAATTGTGGTTATTTTCAATAATATCGGTGAGAAGGGTATTAATAGTATCTTCCAGAAGCTTCAGATACATTTGTCCGGTTGAACTGCCTTCTAAAAACAATGGGCCAACAGTACGGTCACAAAAAATTCGAGCCCATACATTTGATTTTTGTGGACGTTGAAGTATGCACTTCATGAAAAATGTGAGGATTCAAATCAGCCCAATAGCGATAATTCTGTTTAAAATCTGTTTTTCCGTTAATCAGCTGTCGCCTCCATACGAACGACAACTCTCAGAAGTTGAGAAACTTGTGCGAGCTAAGGACTAACGAGGTCTTACCTTTTAACGTGTGATTCCTAACACGGTTGCAGAATCATCCCAGCTTCAACCAGATGAATTCTCTCGAGAAAAATATCTGGTCGAGGCAGGAATCGAACCCACGGTCTTCCGATCGTGAGTCGGGCGCACTACCACCACGACCAATTCCAATTATGGCGATTAACTGTGCCAATTAGAAAAAAAGAACATTCATCACTGAAGCAAATGTTGAAAACAAAATGTGGATTTTCCACCGCTCATTCACTAACCAATTCACAAAATTGCAAGCGTCGATCGAAATCATCTTCATTCAATTCTTGCGTTAATTTAATCTTGTAAGGATGAATTTTGTGTGTTTTTAAAATACACCGAATGCTAGTTCGTGACACCCTGGAAACAAATGCAAAATTTCTAGTGCTCAAAGTATGGTCAAGCTCAACATGGCCCAGGATTGCCACTTGTGTCGCCTCATTTGTTACTGGTGGTTCGATTTGCCGTTTTTTATTTGTTACAGATCCAGTTGCGGGAAATTTTGCAATTGAATCGAAAACATACTTTCCCATGTTGTTGTTTGAACAGTTCAATCAACTCAGTTGTGTAAACCATTGTTTCTTTAGTAACACTTTACGGCACTCACTACTAGTAATAAAGTAGATCACTTTCAACATAAAAATGAGATATTGAAACAGCATTTTTAAACATTTCTCAATTGTAATAGTCCTCTTATCAGAGAAGAACTAAAAAATTAACAAAAAAGTAGCGTAAGAAACAAATGAAAGAGTTCCAAATACATTCCAACTGAGCAGTGGCGTACAACAATTTGTTGCTATTAACAATATTGAAAAAGTTAATTATTGGAAAGAACTCTTTTATAAATACGTCCAAATTTAAAAAATGTACATCATTGTTTAGAGAATTCCAAGATCTTTCAAACGATATGCAACTCGCCCCTATTCTTTATTAAAATTCCAAGGGTTGTTCACCTCTCTGCTCCGGGGTTGAAGTGATGACGCTGTAAATGGGGAAAAAACTGTCCCCCTCCCAAAAAAAACGACCTGTCTGAGGGTTTTTCGGATTTGCAAGATTAGTACCCAAAACCTCCGTCATGTTTTCAATGGCCCACCCTGTATTCATTCATATTAAAGAATTACAGCCAATACTAACTCTTGCTGTTACTGATCTCCAAATCTGTCCTATATTGTTCATCATGCTCGCAGTTCTAAATATTGACAAATTCTACACATTCTTTTCAATTATTTTGGAAAAATCATTGAAATACTGTGAATATATAAACAGTATGAAAACCTTTTGATACGTCATGAAACAGAGTATCTGAGTGCTTAACACCTACTCAAAGATTTCATAGAGTTAAGGGTAATGTATGGAAAAATTCATACTTTACAGCCAATATAAGCATTTAATTGTTTTGATATGTAAGTCATCATTTTTTTTTCTTTTACATTTCAGATTTTGAGAACCAGTAGCCAATGCGGAATGCAAATCAAACAACCGGCACAGCAACCATTCATCAACATGGGTTCAACTGTACACGATATCAAAAAGTTTTTTCAAACTCAGAAAGATAAACAGTATGACGTTATTTTCGTTGTTGTGCCTAATAACGGATCACAGTACTCTTATGTTAAAAGTGCAGCAGAAATCAACACTGGATGTCTTACTCAGTGTATCAAAATGAATACTGTGTGTCGTAAATTGAATCCACAAACTGTAACGAACATTTTGTTGAAGGTAAATGCAAAATTGAACGGCACCAATCATGTTTTACTTCAACGACCACCAATCATGGATAGACCCTGTATGATCATGGGAGCGGACGTAACGCATCCAAGTCCAGACTCTCAAAACATTCCAAGCGTGGCAGCAGTGACGGCCTCGCACGACCCACAAGCATTCAAATACAATATTTGTTGGCGCTTACAGCCGCCGAAAGTTGAAATTATTGAAGATCTCGAAGCGATTACTGTGGAGCAGTTGAAATATTTTTATGAAAAAAATAAAGGCATGAAACCTGAACGGATTGTATTTTTCAGAGATGGCGTTTCAGAAGGCCAATTCCAACAAGTGAGACAAACTGAGATCAGAGCTATCAGATCTGCTTGCAAAAAAGTTCAGGCTTCTGATTATGAGCCAAAAATAACTTTTCTTGTTGTTCAGAAACGTCACCATACTCGCCTGTTCCCAACGAATCCTAGAGATTCTGAGGACAGGAACTTTAACGTACCTGCAGGTAAGATGAAAATTCATTGAATGTTCGATATAGTATATTGTGAGATTTTCACTACAAAAGGCGGGCTACGTAAATTAGATTAGCGATTTTTATGTCGTCTCGAACATATGTACACAGTTTCAGCTGTTTGGTTTGTTGGTGAGAAGCATAACAGTTGGAAGTGTTTGCGTGGGATTCTTAGCACAGGTTGAATGATAGGGCTCGCGGCTTGAACCACCTGTTCACACAGCGGTCGATAATCCAACCATAAATAACAGCACATCTCATGTTGTGAGAATTGACCCCGAACAGTTACAAACAAGGAGTTTCCTTAGACGTGCATGATCACGCTGAGGATTTACCCGAGATGATCAACATGTACGGATTACGAAAATTAGCACTTTCTCCTGGGAATCTATTTCTCCAAAGTATTTAGTTTGTGTTTATTACTCAATCAGATGAATCTTCTGACCACAATTCCTTGATGACTTCTGCAAAAGCTTCCATTAAAGCACCTTTCCAGCAACCATCCCATGTTTGATAAACATTGAATTACACTGTTCATGAAACAGTTGTTGCTAATATTTTACAACCCATTAAACCCGAGAGTTTTGATTGAAGAATGTATTACTGATCTAATGTTGTAACTGTTGATACGACGTTCGCCACTGGTTTCTTCTGAGTAATCACGATTGCGATGATTGACCCCATCATTGGATTGGTGGGATAAGGAATTCGAAGATAAACTGCTTGAAACTGAATTAGATAAATTCACAGCAGAGCTTTTGAGTTTTGGAGATGATAATTCCAGAACTTGTTCATATTTCTCTGTATCTTCTGAGGAATATCACAAGAAATATGGGAGGTTTTATGAGGAGTCAATCTCTCGATATGACTAGGGCACAGTAAAATAACACAACCAGTGGGCTCTTTTACCGCCCGAGTTGCCAGGAACCTTCAACCGCTCTTACGATGAGATTCTCATCCAACGCGTTCATTGCTGTAATATCGAAGGATTCGACGTGCCACGGGCATCGAATCAGTTATAATAAACGGTCGGAATTTGATATTGTGTTCAGTTTATTCGCTCTTGCTATTATTGTTTCAAGTTTTTGTAATTGTTATAAGTAGCTTACCACAAAATCTTCTATAATATCCTTGAATTTCGTTTTTATATGAGCGCACGCCTATGGTAAAATAACGAAATTGGCTCCGCACTTCATTTCGAGGTCACCGAGAACTTTGTTAATTTATGAATGAAAGTAGTGGGAGTGGACTTACTGGTTGATTTTTACTATGACTAGGCTATGAATATGGTTTGGAAACAGCGGGATAAAGAAAAATTAGAAAATTGGATATACCACGTTGACACACCAAATATGTGTGGAAATTTTTTATTTTGATAAGTGGATTGAATACTATGAAAAACTGGAATATCATTTTTTTCTAGGTACATGTGTCGATACGACGATTACACACCCTTTCTTGCAAGATTTTTATTTGGTTTCTCACGCCAGTATTCAAGGAGTAGCAAAGCCTACGAAGTACTGCACACTGTGGGACGACAACGATATGTCTAATGATGAGATTGAGGCGTTGACATATCACTTGTGTCATATGTTTAGTCGTTGCAATAGGTCTGTGAGTTACCCTGCGCCAACATATTACGCTCATCTAGCTGCTGCAAGAGCAAAGGTTTATATCGAAAATGATAGGTTAGATTTGAACAACTTACGAAGAGAATTTGAAAAATATGCCATTCAGGATGTCATTCGGAAAGGAAAACCAATGTTTTTCGTGTAGGTTTTTAATTAGTTTGAAAGTATCAACTTTGAAGTAAACTGTTAATATAATAAAAAAACATAAATATGGATATTTTTACTCTACAGGTACCCATGAAAAATAACGTTCATAAGAAACATAAAACTGATTTCTGATATGTAAGTTGTTCCTGTCATAACTGTTATATTTTATCTGTTGAGAAAAAAAATAAATGAGTAATTTTTGTGAGTTATATTTTTTATTCAAGAGAATGAATTTTAATTTGAAAGAGTCATGAGAAAAAAGTTACACTTGAAACCTGAAATCATTGTTAATCTTGAGGTAATGATAAAAAAGATGGCGAAAAAACGAATAAACTAACAGTACATATTTCAACAAATTCGATTTGCCCATTATAGTGATGTTCAAAAAGAACCAAAATTTGACAATATTGTTTCAATTTTTCATAAATTATTCAAGAAGGAACTGAAAACAAAAATCACTTGCTCAACACCACGTTTTAAGCTGTCTCCGAGAAACCATCTACAGTTTTAATTTTTTTATATGAACCAGAAACGATCATAATTGTTCAATTAGTAATTTTTAGAAGGTCTAAAATAACTTTTTTTTTTATTTAATCAACTTTGTATGTCTGTCGGATATAATTCAATGTCCGGCGCGGTATTAGCCGGGGAAGTAGTTGTTTTCCGGCAGATATTCAACAAAACCTACTGAGTAGGTACGACGAGAGAGATGAATATTTCGAGATCACATTTCGAAATATTAATTTTGTTATACGTATGTATCTCTCCTTGATATCATTTTTCGCAATTATTGAACAATCTACAGAAAATATTGGAAACAGAGATATCAACACATTAATAAATAATAAGTATAATTGAAAAAAAAAGAATTTTCACAAATAAACAGCTTGAATTGAATAAATACAGTCTACCATGTTCATTAAAAAACATTTTGACAAACTCTAGTCTAAGCGGAATGACCTTCAGATATTATTCCAATCGCCTATGTACATTCATCCTCAAGTTATTAAACACCTGTCAAACCACCCGAGTCTTCATATCGTCATCCTATCACAGACTCACCAGTTTGATGTCTGAAACAGAAATCACGACCAGGCTGGGATATCAACTTACAGGGGGTACCTTGTCTTGTTTTAGCACGACATGGAGATCTGATGCTAGTATTCAATAAAAGGGGAGTTCGACTTCGACTCCTAGATCTGGACGAAGTAGGGTAGTGCCCATTTCTAGATATTGGTGGAGTGAAATCGAAATCTCGGAATGTATCTGAGTTCTCGTGACCATAATCATCTTCGTATAATCTCAAAGGAACAGCGCTGTAACCGTTAACCGTGCTTTCAGAGTTATATAATGTGGAAGTCACTTTATCATTCGTTGAACTTCCAACATTATCGCTGGTTGCGATACTCTCCTTGGTTTTTATAGGTGATGTGGACTCTTCCCAAGATATCGCTTCCTTCTTTCTTTTGTTCTTCAAATCAAATGCCCCGAGGATGATAAATTGTACTGAAAAATAAAAAGAAAGGTTCTGAGAATCATAGCAAATGAAAATGAACGTTAACACTGTCGACTCCAAGAGGAGATATTCTTTCACCTTTCGATAAGTCAATTTTTTTTAGGAAATGAAAATGAACCGTCTTAGCTTGCATATGAAAAAAAAACTTGTAACAACACAATGAATATAAAAACACGAAGAAATCTACTGAGTACCACCTCAAGAGATTGAAAAGTGAACTTACCAACAACAAATATCAAAATTGTGCTCAGAAGTCCCACAAAGTCCAAATGTTTTTGTTCTCCATAGAATGCCACAGCCAAATTCAGAGGCGGTAAGGTGGCAACAACTAATCTAGTGCTGGTCCTAACCCCCATGAAGGCACAACTGAGCATTGCCAAAAGTATAAATGTTGAATGCCAAAGCACAAGATAAATGCGTTCTATAGAATGATCTGTTCCTCCTAGAGCAGAAGTTATCCAAACTAATCGATCTTCCAATGTCCGCCATGTTCCTCCTACCAGAGCTGCCAGGTTGTGTACTGTCTCGTTCATCTCTTGTAAACTTCTCAAGGTAGACTGATACTGCCTGCCGAACTCCTCATTTTGAGCAAAAAGCAACGAAGATGTTTTGTCTGAAATGTATAGAAAATGAAACATTTTTCACGAGGGTTTACTTCTTGGATTTCTACTTCTCCATCTTCAAACAAAAAATGATAATGATAATGAAAATTTATTTCCCAAGAGACAAAATATTGAATTGAAATAGTCAAGTTCACATATTAGAAATGTTATATGTGTGAGATGTAACAAAAATATTCATAACAATATTCTTTTGAAAAGAATTCATCTGTTGAATAAAAACATCTCATAACAAGAACATTTTTTTGAGTTGCTTTCTGAAAGTCAATAACGAAGAACAGTTTTCTAATTCATTTGGTAATTTATTGAATGCACGTAAGCCGTTATTAGTAGGAGAGAAATGTAACTCTCTATTTTTACAAATTGGCAAATGGAAGTGATTTTGAGAACAATTATTTACTTGATGTACATCCGAATTTTTCACAAAATTGTCTCTATTCTTGAAAATATAAAAAAACAATTCAAAAATATATAATGACTGAAGTGTTTTATATTTGCTGAAAAAACCTCAACAGCTCTCGGTACTAGGCACATTCATGATGCACATGATTTTTTTTGTACAATATAAACTTCCTGAAACGTGGTTGACCATAATGTATACGACTCTTCATTTGCCCATAATACACCATCAGCAATTGAGAATGTGTAAGTAGCGTTTTCAAATTTTTCAGAAGATATTACTGAGAATGGAGCGCTGATATCAGACTCGAACAATGTACTTTCTAATCGAGATGTTCATCAATGCACATTCCTAAAAACTTGACATGGGTGTCAGATTTGGAAACTGGTATCATTTACAGTGAGATAGGGTTTTGTACAAAGTTTTTGACGGTTGTGAAACCGAAGATATTGTGTCTTATCTACATTGAAAAATGGTGAATTGTTATATGTCCAAGTTGCCAAAGATCGGATTAGCGCATTACAACGTGTTTTAAGGGTTTCAGCAGAATGATCTAACAAAAGTGCAGAGATATCATCTGCATACATTGTAACATGAACATTTTCACAAAGGTTTTCAATATTATTAATATATAGCAGAAATAACATGGGACCCAAAATGGAACCCTGTGGGACATCTATGTTGATATCAGCTAATGTAGAATTTGTAACCCTCAACTCATTGCATTATTCATTTCTCAAACATACATACTGTTTGTGATATTGTAGAAAGCTTGTAATTCATGTCAGTACACTATTTTCTATACCCTAATGCTATAGTCTCTTTATCAAAGTATCATGATCCACATAGTGAAAACTTACAGAGAAAGGCAGACACAAATCCACTTAAAAATGAACTATTTGCATAAATGTTTAGTTCATGCAAGGAGTTTCTTTATTCAGATACAAACTGAATAATATTTGTTAACTATAAAAGCTCATTTTACATTTTTTTCAAGCAAATTCAATTCACTTACCAATTTTTTCAAATATTTCTGTTGTTTTGTCCTGAATTGTCATAAGATCTTCAATCAACTGTTGATGGTTCAACTTGGTTTCACCAGATTGATCATTGAGCTGTATCAATGAATTTTCTAGTTGACCTTGTATGTTTTTAGTCATTTCGACCAACTGATTGTGTGTTTCCAATATCAATCGTTTTTCATCAGTCAATCTTTTAATATTATCCTCAATAGCCAACTGTCCATAGAACTGAGCTTTCTGAATGTCTTGCTGCTGCTTTGACAAACTTTCGTGACCTTCACTGAGCTTATCATAAGTTTTTTCCGCAAGACCTTGCAAACTCAGTTGGGTATCTGAGATACGATTGAGATTTTTTAGTTGACCGCGTGCTGCCTCCATTAATCGATTAACAGTATGCTCAGCTAAACCTCGAAATTGACTCTGTCGTATTGTGTAACAGACAGCTCTGGCTCTGTTGCTCATCAAGTGATAACTTGTCCATGTGTCAGAGTCCATGTTTGTCGTACATTCCCGAATACTCATGTCATCAGAACAGGGATAAATCTGGCGACCTTCCACGAATGACTGGCAGTTCAATAAGTGCACTGCCATCTTGGCCAGTTGTTCGTCGTCCATTTTATCACAGTCAGATTTTAACTTCAACACCACCTAGATAGTGGGAATGAAAAGTAATGTTACAAATGTAAATGACACTCATCATCTATTATTTATCAATTATTAATCTAATATAAAGGTTTGAGTCAAATCTTTTAAAATGTTTAGAAATCAATGTATTCAATAATTCTAAACATTTGCTTGATGACAAAATAAAATAAAATTTTTTTAGTAAGAATCTCATCATAGTAAATACAGATTACATAACCCTTTGACTAATAATAGAAACTGAATAAAATGAATATATTATAAATAGAAAGTTGAAAATTCACCAAGTTTTCCATAATCAACCAAGTACCCTTCCTCTAATAAAAATATATCATAGCTGAACAAGATTAGAAATTGATCATCCATCAGTATAATACTCATGATATAGTCTGTTCCAGTAATTATTTCAGGTTCATTATCAAATCATGCTTTGATTCTAGACTCCTAGATATCATGGAGGGAAAATATTACCCTTTGCTGACAGGAATCCAAATCTGTCAAAGCAACACCAGTTAGTTTAGCTGCTTCACTCAAAAATTTCTCGTCCGTGGTAGATACTTCATAAGGTATTTTTTGATTGTACATTTCTTCTTGGTAGTCTTCCATAGGTCCTTCATTATGGAAATAACTTCGTATTCCAGTGAATAGGTTATCAAAAAGTGCATTCCCAGGCGTGAGCGATGATAAAATTATTAAAAACCAAATTAAAATATTCATCTTCATCTGGAGATATATTTTACAATAACCAATATTCTTATTTGAAATTCAAACTGATATAAACGGCAGTTACAAACTTACAATCGTTCGTATCGCACATAAAGCAAAAGCAGTGACAATGACATATGACAATCTGGCGGTACTCCAGTACCACAGAACTATAACTTCTTGAATTGAAGGGGTTATATTTTTAGGAGTGATTTTTTGGGAAAGAAAGTTTTTGGCTTTCTACTACTCCATCTTGATACAAAAAATTTAGGAATCTTCTTATAGTTCTGTGTCCAGCACTGACACATTTAAACTGCGTGTTTTGGCACGGTTCAGATACAAGATTACGGGAAGAACTCAGGCTGAATTTTCGATATATTGCTTCAACCAATGAAATCACGCTAACGTTTCGAATGGACCAATAAATGATTTCATTGGTGAACTTACCGGTGAATTTAAGAACTCGCCTTTTATTTGACTGATTTCTAAACTGAAATAAATAAAATTAAAATAATTTTCGGAACTAAAGTAGTTTTAAACTTGATTGAAGTAAAGAGTAATATTGATTTCCACTTCATTCGTTACCTTGCAATCTGTATATAATACAACTGGAGGCATTTTTATAATTTAAAAAAGAAATCAAACACTGGTGCATTTATTGATGCAATTTTGATAGCATTACCGAAGAAGTTTTTGCGTTTTTTCAATTACTTTCAACTTTTGCCTCTTACTTAGTAATTCCCACATATAGGAATCCTGGGAGGGACCATTCCCATCGTTTCTATACTCTTTTATTTCTATTCCATTTATTACTTTTCACTGCGTTGCAATCGACGGAATCATTGAAATGGAGTATTGGGGAAAACATGACGTTGAATATTAAATTATTGTCATGATTGTTAAGTTAACCAATATTATTTTCGGCGTTTTCTTGGTATTCTAGATTCTACTCATTCCAAATGGACATACAAAAGCTGTGGGGAACAGCTGAACTCTAAGGAACGCCTGAACTCTAGGGAACGCAACCTAAGGCAAAGATTGATTCAGATTATTCAATGGACTTATCATCAATGAATTTAAGAACTCGTCTCAATGAAGCCACCGATTGCTCCAATAGATTTATCTATTGGAGCATTTTAAACGTTAGCGCGTTTCTATTGGATAAAGCAATTTATTGGAATTTCTCTTGTTGAATTTAAGGACTGGCTTAAGCGAACAGTAATGTCATTTATCACAGATTAAATATTTAATCTATGCATTTACCAATTATTTTTTCAACTCAATTTCAATATTTTAATCTTTGAATATTTGAAACGGAGGTAGGCGAGGTTCGTTTATTATTGTGACTCCGATGTTTTTTTATAAATGAATCTAACCTTTTTCAGAATTAAACAAACGTCAAATTTCTGGTCACATCTAATCATCATTAACTTGAACTTTTAACCTTTTCTTTTATCAGAACGTCAACTTTTGAAAATGGATTGAAGCTGTCTTTAAGAAATGTTCCATTTTCTGGAATTAATGTTTGAAAATAAGATGAGCGATGCAAAGAAACTCTACGAATCCCTGAGTTTAGTTGGCTCTTTCACTCTTGCAATTTCATTGCCATGGATTATACTTCGAGTTTTCAGAGCTTTATATTTACAGAAAGGCTACAATGAACTATTTGGAAAGGTAAGCAGAATACATTGCTTGTGAGTTAAAAGGACGAACTGCTTGTTTTCTCGATAATTTTCTTTGGGAAAACAGTATTATGTTTTGATTCAATAAAAAAAGTTTATTGGATATGTTGACAACAGGAAATGATTCAAATTTTCAGGGCATGTATTTTTTGATGGTATTTCTAGGTTGTGGTTATTACGGGAGCAAGTTCAGGTATTGGAGAGGCGCTTGCTCATGAATTCTACAAGCATGGCTGCCAGGTGGTATTGTGTGCCAGAAGAAGACAGGAATTGGAGAGAGTAAGAAATGACTTACTACATTCCCACTGTACTCTACAAACCCATCCGCCGATAATCATTCCTTTAGATCTTAGCGATGTTGATAGTTTGACGGATAATGTCAAAAAAATTTTATCTATCACCAAGAAGATAGATATCTTAGTTAACAATGGTGGTATTTCACACAGAGGTAGAGCTCTTACTACAGATCCTGATGTAGATATGAAAATTATGCAGGTGAATTATTTTGGATCGGTGGCTCTAACAAAAGGTTATAATCTCTTCAGTTTGTTCTGAATTTATTATTCCAGTAATATGGATTTCATTATTTCAGCCGTTTTGCCTGGTATGATTGCAAGAAAATCTGGTCACATTGTGGTCGTCAGTTCTATACAAGGTTTAGTAGCCTTGCCCGATCGATCTGCCTACAGCGCTTCTAAACATGCATTACAAGCTTTTAGCGATAGTTTGAGAGCTGAAATAGCAGCAGATAATGTATCTGTTACAGTGGCAAGTCCGGGATATGTCAAAACTCAGTTATCAATGAATGCTCTGACTGGTTCAGGGAGTTCCTACGGTCAGATGGACAGTACCACAGAAAATGGATTTAGTGCCGACTATGTAGCAGCTCAGATTGTTAAGGCCATCGTGGAAAAGAAAAAAGAAGTGGTGATATCAACGATTCTGCCCAAGTTGGCAATATTTTTGAGGAAATATTTGCCATCCCTCTATTTTTTTGTTATGGTTAGAAGGGCTAAAAATTCAAGCTTGATTAAATGAACAGATCCATCACAGCTGGTACAAAATTCAGTAATAATAAACTCATCAGAAAGTTCGTTCTACTTGATATATTTTGTAAAATCCCCCAATTTGTGTTTTGAAAACAGTATTAGTATTATACGAAGCAAAAGTACTCAAATCATCTTTCAATGAAATTCTGGACTCGTGACATCTCTAGTTTCCATGCAAAGTTTATTCAGTAAACAGACCATCACCATTCATTATTGTTTTTTTCTCAATACATAATACTTGATGCAATATTTTTACATAGGGGATATTGACATTGAAAGAAATACACTTTGAAAAAACAAAAAACTTCTTGGGTGAGATGCAGCAAATTTCATGCACAAGGAGAATCACTATCAAACAGAAAATAACTTCACAAATAATATGGCTTATAATCGAGTATATTTAGATGAAAAATTTGTTAAATATGATAGAACTAACATGTTTGATGAAAATCCATTGTAACGTATTCTAAAACACACTTTACGTGAGATTTTCGTGTTTCGCTATATAATAGCACATGTTGTGGCTTTGTAAACTAAAAGTGAAAGTATCACACTGAATTAAAGTGTTTTTTGCATACGATTGTTTATTTTACGGTTAGGCGGACAAACTATTGTCAAATATTTTTCTTCTTTCATTCGGTCATAGTGACTGAGGACAGACAAGAATTTGTACCTACGTATGTGAGGATGTCCTGCTTAGAATCGGTGGACGCCCTCAGTGTACATGTTTGAAGGGATTGATAGAACTTGGTAACACTGCTCGAGTTCTGAACTAAAACCGATTCTACATGTGAAGGATGAACTTTCGAAAGGGTTGACTCTGACTTCACACGAAGACGATAGTGGTAATTCAATTGTAAATTTTGATGATTAGGCAGGAAATATTCCAACTTGTAAGAGTTCTGCCAGGTAACATTCCAAAATGGAATTTCAACAGGCATGTAGCATAAAAGAAATAGCTTGGAAAATATCTGTACTGAGAAATATCTTTTGGATTTTGAAGTGCTCAGGGTTCCCCTTGGCGATAGATGGCTCTTGAGTCTCTTAATGATTATGCCTTACTCACCTTTGCCACAAACACCTACTGATGAACAACAAATCACCCTAAAGTTAAAAAATAAACAATGAAACATTTATTCATAAATCACATTGGCGAAATATAGTTTGAAATGTATAAAAAAAGGAATTGATTTATATATTGTCTACATTCTCTCGTCTATATAATTTACAAGAAATTCTAATAATGCCCACAAAATGGGGCAATCTAACAACCGAACTTGTACCTATACATTGACAAAAACATTTATTTCATTTTACGGTATAATCTGTACAAGCAAAAGGCTGCCGCAGCTAACGAAACTGTACAGTGTAACACTTTTCGCTTTGTATCGTCCTTTCGCACTAATACTACAGGTGATGCTGCTGTGAGGCCTCCTAAAATTGGTAATCTGGCCAATTTCCTTGGATCCCTCTCAACCTGAAAAAAAGCATGACTTTCAATTATACCAGAGGCAAGTTTTGATTTCAGATTAGTGATTAGCAGCAATTGAAACATTTTCGAAACTTGTGCAAGACATAATATAAATATTCTCCCTATTTTCAAGCTGGATTCAAGTATGTACTAGTCATTCTTTTATATCTTACCTGATATTTAACACAATGGTCAAATTGCCAAGATGCTGTGTACAGGCCTGTACATAAAGTTGAAACAATACTAAGAGGAGCTTGAGGAGTGAAGTTGTCGGACCAGGCAATACCTTAAAAACAAAATGGCACAAAAAAATATTGGCTGAATATAACAGAAAACATGAAAATATATTGACATGCTCCATCAACTAGCACACTTCAATAATGATTCACAAAAATATCTCTCGTATATGTTATTTTGTGTTAGATAAGCCATGAACAATTTTGAACTATATGTAACCCCAAAAACTTAATTTCTGTAAGATGTTGAATTGGTTTGTTTTTAAATGCTAAAAACTCTTTATGAGAATTTGAATACCGTTTGGATATAATAATAATAATAATTATCATATATGTACATATATGATAATTTTTCATGACATCCATGAAAAATGATGCTGCTTCCGCCCTTATTTTTTTGTGAAGATTATTTGCTGAATAGCAAAGAAACTATGAGGAATATCAAGAAATTTTATTGAATTCATTCTTATTAGATTGAGAATATGTGCATGTGTTGATCCTTAGAATAGTTTAACACCAACTTGGTTCCTCTCTATATTACAATCTGGTTCCTGTTACTTAAATGATTTCTAAACTAACTAAACGCTTCTCTAATGATAAAAAATTAGGATTTATATTTTGTGATCTACAGCATGAAATTCCTTTCTCAAATCAAGAGCTTATGTCTTTTGATACAAGCATTCTCTGTTAGAATCTAATAGTTGTCAAATATTCCATTACCTACCTGATACAATGGACATAACTCCTGAAATAACAGCGGTTTTATGTAAATAATTTCCAAAAGTGATCCATCTGGCTGTTTCATCTCCTAGTTGGGTTGGTTCAATAACAATATAGGAGCAACAGCTCTCAAGAGCTTTCTCTAACTCCATTGAAAAACAATGAGAGGAATATTCTCCATCATAAATTTCTCTGATTATGGCCATATTAGTTGAATGTAATGCCCTGAAAACTTGGAGATTTGAATATCGGTAAGTACTTTCTATTAATACAATACCTATCTCCTCCTGCATCCATTATGAGACAAGACAAATAATACAGTCAAATACAATTCGTCAGTTAGCAGTATAAATTGTACTTCCAGTGATACATTATCTTTTTTTACAGATATAATTATCCGCAGAGATTTATTAATTATTAGCAAAGTATTTTGATTATATAACTGTCCAAAATACTTTTGAATTCAGTGGAAACATTTTCTGTACTGAACCCTAAAATGTCAACAAACTAGACACAAATGACGATTGACAGACATGACATGACCGACCTGACACAGAACTCATTATAATATTTCAGGACATAATTATAGAATTTCTGTAATATTAATGCGGCTGTTTATCGGAGTTTTACTTGTTGTCTACATAGATCTCGGAGGACGAAAAAATATAGGAATGAATTTCTATTTTTTCATGTAGCAATATATTTGTTTGTACACAAATCTCTTGAACTGTACGAATATACATCAAATCGTGTTTTTTCAGTATTTGTCGGACTGTTTTCGACATCCAATTGGTAAAATTCTCATTCGGTTATTATTCATATTCAGAAGTGTTCGCTTAATCTGTTTGTATACTTCAATCGAGGGGCCGTTCTCGTCGACGGGGGAACACGTTTTCTCGTTTTATTCTGTGAATGTTTGCTGTCAGGAGTCACGTGCATTGCAATCTTTTAAGGTATCACTTCAAGGGAAACATCCTGAATGCCACAGGAACGGTAAAATTCGGATTACCAAAGACTGGTCAATCGCTCCAGTTACCGTAATTATTATCAAATAAGCAAGCAAGAAAAACTTGTTACTGATTTTATTTTTTTGAGGAAATCGATTCGAAGGGATTTTGGTGATGAAACAATACTGATGAACTACATCAAATTGAACGTTATTATACGTAAAAGAATAAAATTTAACATTGAGAATCCAGCTTAATTTCAAGTATAATAAATTACACAGCATATAGAATCAATTTCATAAAATAAGGTCTAGTTTTTTTTGTTAACTTCTGATTGTACCAACATTTAGAAAGTGAACTGACTGAAAACAGTAATATAAATTTTCTGAATAAGTTCACAATAACGTTAAATGAGCATCTGTGACAACCCTTCAAATGTCAATCTTGTTCTCATACTTGTAATACCAAACGTTTCGTCTACGACTGCGGCATATATCTTCAGTGATGTATGCGTCGACTGCGAGATTCAGAGTGATATATTGAAGTCACAACAACACCTGACTGGCTGTTTTGTTACAGAGATTTTTTGGAGAGTGAACATCCTATACTGAAAATAGTGTTCTTTCCTATGTTAGCGTGCACTATACAAATTGAATGAGATTTTGAATTATGCGCTTCGATCTGAGGAGAACGCAGAAGGTAAGTTCTTAAATTCAACAGCAATTCTTCAGTGATGCTGTGAAAGATTGAGCCTGATGGATAAAATTTTCAGCAAAATAAGAAACGTTCACGTGGAGTTGAAATACTTCTTTTTTTCAAATTCATTGAATGTCAGTTGTCAACCAATCTAAATGCATCAACTGTATCGGCTGGTGTGGCAATGGTGGAAATAATCATATATTTGAGGAAAATTAATGGATGTCACATCTGTAATCCATCAAACAATAAAACAATAAAACAAAATTGGTGGAATGACGTGCTCATCATTGGATTCAAGGAACTCGTGTAAAAGTCAAAAATGTTTTTCACCACAGAATATGGAATAAGTATAAGTAACAATAGAAGACAAAGAGAAAACGCGAAACTAAAACTGCCCAGTGAAAATGTAACAATAAAGTGTTACTTTAATACTTTATGGATTTTCATCAAGTATCGGTCAATTACATCACATATATAATTTGAGTATTGAAAAAATACGATTGTGTTAGAATAAGAAACATCACTCAACTCTGAAAATATGTGATAAAATTACGACGCGTTTTCAGAAGCACCATTAAAATCGACGGCGCATCTGCCTGAAGCGATTGTGGTCTCTAGACGCTTTTTAACCTCAGTCCTAGTAATCTCAGTCATATGCTAGTGGTATTTTGCGTTGCGGGCTCAAACATCATCGACAGTACTTGTTTGTTCACAGGTGAGTGTTCTGTGCGTTCGTTCGTTCAAGTCCAACGTTACTCGATATCGGAATAGGACTTATTCCTTCTCTTTTCTTATAGGGTGTGTTGTTTATGTCAATGCAAAAAATAAACCAAAGTGACTAAGTGAAGTGTGTGCGATGGCAATCATTTTCGGAAATTTGAGTTGCCACCAACTTTTAGGCTGCGCCTGCGGCTGATAGGTAAACAAAGAGAGGTTATTAGTTGAGTGCAACATGTCCCAGTGTAAGAAATTTACTCCTAATATTTTTCATAAGACGAAATGTTCCAGTTGTTTTCGACAGAAAGAGGAACACTCAGCCGAGGCACTGGAATGCAACAGGGTGAGTCTCGCTATTTTTACATACATGATATGATCATTCCCCTTTTTTCCCTTTGCATACTCTTATAATTTTGGAACTTTAACTTGGATATAGGTAAGTTCAGAATGTGTTCTCGATTTGAAAATAAGAACCCAACTGCAGAGCAGAAGCCTGTTAGAAAGAAAAAATAAAATAACAGTATAAACATTGTTAATAATATTATACAATTTTGTGCTTATACAGGAAAAATAGTTTCAAGTGGATCTATGATTTTTCACGATTTTCTCTGAAACCGGATCTGCTTGAAAAAAGTTGTATGTGAATGTTATAAATTATAAAAAGATAACAACTATACTACGAACTATATTAGTAACCCAAAATTATCCGAGAAAAATCGAAAAAAGTAGCTTTTTTGTTTTTGCTTTATTTTTCTCCCACAAAAAACATTGGTTTTTCACGATATTTGGTGGGTTGAATGTAATGCCCTGAAAACTTGGAGATTTGATTTCAAATATTCACTGTAAATGTGAAAGAAAAGTAACATTACTATGGAAAAAAATGTTGGAAAAGTGAAAACTGAGAAAGCTCAATTTTCTTTTTTTTTTTTCATTTTACCTCAAATCTATCCATGGCTTGATGTTAATTTTTCTCGAGTTTCTTCTACACAACTTGGAATATTTTTCAATAAAAACACAATACTGATATTTTGATAGAGGCTTTTTTTCAATTCAATATCAAAGAATTGTGTGTTAAACTGAATATAATGAATAAAAAATATTGTTTTTTAGGGATTAAATCCTTCAAATCGATATAGTGAATTAAAAAATTGGGGCTAGGCCATCAAACTGCCACAATTCTGGACTAGTTGTATTCTTGGAGAGTCTATACACGGTCCATACACAATGTCAAATAAAATTCACCAATACGTGTTCAAGCATTATACTGTGCCAATACTCTGAACAGATACAGGAGACTGAGATAAACGAATTGCCACACTTCACCTATTAACATAACCTCACAAAAATAAGACAACAATCCTGCAATTCAAACTCCACTTCGAATACCAACAATTTATATATGTACAAAGTACTTTTAAATTTGAATCGAAACATTATAGTAGCAATTTCATTGATATCGAAAAGAATACGCGACGTTGATGCATCACGTTGCGTCAAGTAAGTCGGGTGACTTGGGTGCCGGTTCTGCAATACATAGACAAATATTTTCCAACAATACCATCTTTGAACCCCTATTTTCCCTCTTGAGGGGTGGAAATTTCTGGCTCCTTTTCTTGATGCTTATTAACGCTATACAAAGAACCTACCTGCATATTTCAAGATTCTAGGTTCAGTAGTTTCGGCTGTACTTTAATATAAGAGCGGGCACTAGCTAGTAATTTATATTTTACTTTAAAAATACAGTTACTGAAAAAAGATGCAAACTGCACCAAGTGATGAATAACTTCGGAAATCGAATTATTTTACCTATAAAGAAATTTCGCAAATCTAACACAACCGTCAACGACGTCTGCCCTCACGGGACTGCCCGCGTTCGGGACGCGTTCTCGGCAATGGCACCTCATTGGTTAGACCGCCCCTCTACCCCGCGCATCGTCCCCCGTCGTCTTACAGTAGACGCGACGCGCAGTAGCTTACTGCGTTGCGTCAAGTTAATCTTATCGTGATAACTTTTAAACGATGCGTCCAAATTACTTAGTGTAAGGGACAAAGTTTATCTATATTAAATACTTAAAACGACAATTGTATCAATTTTCATAAGAATTTGACAGATATTCTAAAATGTGCATTGTAAAAGAAGTATCCAATTTAATTATATTCATGGCTCAGTATTTGGCATATAGTGGCTACCACATAAGAGGTAGATATATATGCTATACGCTGTATTTATGTGAAGTTTCATCAAAATCCGTTCAGTCGTTTAGGCGTGAAAGAGCCACAAACATACATACATCCATCCTCACAAACTTTCACATTTATATTAGTATAAATAGATTTACTCAGTCTGTTGTGATCCACAATATTTCCAATAAAATTTTCTACACTTCCTAACAATTTTCATGCTGCTCTCAATTTTCATTTTCTATCTATAAGTAGTTCATTTTCAAAAGGCGTTTAGTGATAATTCAATCAAAACAAACAATTCCAATGGCATGCTTACTTTTTAGTCAATATGTAAAGAAGTCTTGTCTTATAATTGTTATTGTATTATTTTCCCAAGCATGACACGCATGACCACCACATTTAAATCGACTAACCCTTTCATACGTATGAAAACGCTTGAAACAAACACTTGCGATTTTGTAAACAATTGTTCGTTTTTGAAAGCAATGACGTTTCGGTTTCGATTCTTGACCAGTTAGTTCTCTTTCTAAAATGATTATAAGGAATTTCTCTAAAACTAAAGTGAATTTTAATTTTTTCAAAAAACATTTATCACTTTCTATTTTGTCCCCTTCAAAGTAGTCCCTCTCGGAGCAGTTCTGAAATAAACTTTTGGTATATCCTTGAACTCTCTGCAATTTGGTTTTTATCTCCTCAATCTTCGCAAAACGCCGACCTTTGACCTTTCATGCGTCTCTTCAATCTTGGGAACAGAAAAAAGTCGCAGAAGGTCAAATCTGGCGAATACGGTGGCTGAGGCATGATCAAATCATCGAAAAACAGCTGAAACTGGGAACATATGTTCGAGACGAGAGTACCAACATAAAAAAACGCTAATCCAATGTATGTAGCCCGCGAAATTTGAACATTCACTTTATGTTTTTGTATCTTTATTGTAAGATCCCCTTCGCAATTCCACATCACGTTTTATGATGTGTTTATTTTTATTCATCATTCAA